GTTTCGGAACCAGCCAGACATCACTTAAAGTGATCCTATCGTCAGTAATTTCTGATTTTACTGTGATACAACCTTTCCCTAACGCAAGAATTAATGTTCCATCAGCAGTAGTAAAGGTCGAGACGATCAAATTTCTGGAAATTTATGAAATTATCCTTATTATTTGTGACGTGATGTGCCATTCTTCAAATATCTTCTTTCCTTGACTGTAAGGTACAAGCCATCAAGGTAACGTTTTGAAATTAACCCAATTAAATGGGTTTCGATGGTCTTCCATCCTTAATCCACTTAGAGCAGTCTTAACTCTATGGCCTTTTTCTTTGTAGTAATTGCATTTCTACTGTTTCTTTTTTGATTTTAAGCTGTTGTTCGAATTGTTGACAGTGAATGTTTCTTCTTTGTTTTCAGAAGGTGTCTTCAGTGAACTTTCAAACGTACAAAGTTTCTGAGTAAGTATCTCAATCATTTCTCCTTTGTACTTCATAGTAGCCACTTTGACTTAAAGGCCGAGTATCTGTCATTAAGAGAATCAGTAATTTTGATCATTAATAAAATCTCAGGAAGATTTTCTTTCAATTGAAGATTTATCTAGTTCTAAAAGCTTTTTAGTTTCGAAATATGGGTTGCCATGTCTGTCTTGTTGCCATGTTGCCAGCGTCTGATTGGTATTCGCGCAAATAAGTATGGTGAAAGAATTACACAATATCTGATTCCAATATTAATTAATCAACTACCTGTCTCCTTGAAAAATACTTTAACACAAAAAATATTAAATTAAAACTAAACATAACTTTTTGGAATGTCTGTGTTCGAATTAAGTACATCGATTATAAAACAAAGTACACCTGCCTGATTCTTATTATTGTACGACGTTAATTGAGTTCTTTATTAAATATAAAAATATTATTGAACAAGTGTGTATGTAAATTGTAAAATATTTGTTGCTTGATGCAAGATACTGATATTGTAGACGAACTTCAGTGGTTTATTACAATGTTGTAAGAATTAAAATTGTAAACTTTTTGTAGACATAATAATAAATTCGGGCGGCGATTCTGTTAAGAGTTGTCGCGGATTCGCTGCGATTCAGTCACGAGTCGTCGCGGATACACCGCGATACCGTCACGAGTCGCTGGCAGAATAATCGCTCATTCGTGGAGATTACTCGACGATAGAAGTACGGACTCATCGCGATACTCTCGCTCGTGGAAATGGCGCCTTAATCTTGTTCGTTAAGAGGAAACTATAGATATACATTGAAAAGTGTACTACAAAGACAGTTTGATATAAGAATAGAAATAAAATAAGTGTGTAAAATCGCCTAGTGATGTTCAAATAAACATTTTATGATTCTACATAATTAATTCATATTAAGACTTACATTGCATTGACAGTCACGCCATCTAACGCCTTATCCATTACACCTTAAATGTCAATGTTCTCACACAGAATAAAAAAATGCGTGGGCTCTCTTTTCCTTAAATCAATACTTTCTCTTTGCATTGACATATTTTTTTTGCTTGCCGAAAAGTAGTTTTAAAAGTAAAAGTAGTTTTTAACTCAATTGTTAAGAACTACTTTTACTTTGTTTAAATTGTAGCGAAATAACATTCATTTAAATCCTATTATATCCGCCCACTCCTACAGCCCGTTATATTTATTGTATAACCATTATATTAATATATAAAACTAGCTTTAGCCTGTAACTTCGTCTGCGAGCTATTAGTTTTCCCAATAGTCCCGATTTCAAAAACGGAGGTTTTCAATTCCACTTATTTTTTTTATGTATGTTCCCAATATAGCCAGTGTCAGTAATGGACAGATTATGTTTGTTTACCTTTTTCGTTTGAAAGATTTATATTTTATCGAAATGAGATTACTAATACTATTTTTATATAAAAAAAAAATAACAATGAATAGAGTTATAGCTAGTAGACTGCAAATCACGTGCCAGTTGTCTCCATTCGTACAACAGTCAACAAGAAATCATTTAAAAAATCCAAGATGGCCTTGTTGGGCTGACGGACACCAAAATATTTTTAACCGAACTTACAATAAAATAAGGATAACAAATCAATACGGTTATTTGACAATCTTGTGATGTGCTGTTACTGTATATTTTGTGCAGTATTTATATTCTTGTCGGTGGCCTTTGCCATTTTATAAACTATGTAGTAGTTACACAAGAAAGTAATTTATTTTAGGTATTTTAAGAAAAGTGACAAGTATACGATTTAGAAATATTTTATTTGATAATGTCTTTATCTAATATATTAATTATCAATTTATTATACAAAGTGTTTGCCTATTTTACAATAAAATTGATTACAACTATTGCTAATTTCTTTTCACGCTATTTGACACATTGATTCATTTCCAATTATTATCATCGATATTACAATTCAATTAAATATAACCCCAAAATACTGCCTGATATTACAGTGTAGGTATGTTTAACAAAGCATTGATTCTATAAATATCGTATAGAAATTAACAGTCAGCAAGTCAAGTTAAAATCTTACCCTAAGGCACTGACAGAAATAATTATGCACTATAAGTATATGAAGTTAATTATAAATAACATAAATCTAAAGAGTAAATAACATTCCTTATATCGTATGTCCGCACGTCAGCTGCTGCGTAACAAAAAATTTAGACCACCTCAACTTCACTGTCTCACAAATGGTATGGGTCCATCACTGATGGTACTCAGCTCACTAGCTTAGATATATTATTCATTAATAGCGCGTAATATTTTGGCATTTCAGATGTACTTATTATAACGTAGAGGCAAAGAAAACACAGATGAATTGATAGAACTGTAACCTTATTATATACAAAAATAAGAGAGGTCACATTAAAAACTGTAGAACTAGATCTTGTTAAGGCTCGGTTCTTAAGACGGTCTACATGTTTACAGTAGACAAATAAAACTGTAGTCTAATGTAACTGACGCATACTGTCTTATGAGTCGTAATTAAGATATTTGTTTCGCACCAGTTCCACTGGCCAAATAAGATGTATTATCCATTTAGAATGAACTGATTTATATCTTCTAAAGCCAAATTCTATTTAATGAAGGTACTTATTTATTTTTATATAATAATTTTCACGACAATTTTTATAACACTAAGAATTCCAGTCCGCAATTTATCTACGAATATCAACTGCTCGTAAGTAGATAATCTAAAGGAGCCATTAATGCGCTAGGAAGTCGAAAAAACGTGGTTTTAGCTCTGTAATTTGGCTAGGTAATAAGATATAAAAATAAATAATTAAAATAATATAAGTGGTAATTTATTGAATTTTTAGAAATGAAAGTATATTAGGATTAATCGTTGTTACCAAAATATAATGCGCTACAATGTATATTACGTGGACTATGTACGAGGTGCTTTAATATTTTTTATTTGCTTAAAAATGGCAATATACTTATTCTATTAACTGGTTTTTATCTTGATGCTGTTGTAAAATAAAGTTTATTTATTGCACCAAAAAACAACAACATTAACACATATTTTCATCAGTGTGATTTCAGTATATTGGAAATATCCTTAAAAATTAAAGTTTCAAAGAAACTGGTACAACAAATGTAGCTTACAAATATTTTAATAAGATAGGCGTATAAAATAATAATAAGCATAATGTATGTACACATCAAATATTTGGGAACAGAATAATGATCGGATACAAACAAAGTGATCAAAAATACTTTTTATGTGCCTTAGTGAAATACGTATATAAAGACCTAGCTCCATGGTGCTAAGTCTTCGTTGCTTACCTAAGGCCACAAACTGGATGCGGTGCATCGCGCAAGTCGAGCGATTTGTTAGACATTTTATAGTTTGTATGAACGGAGCCTTGCGCATTAATCGAGCGGCGAATACGCGGCTGAGCGATTTAAAACTTTATCGACATGTAAATCGGTATATAATTAGTTAAATATAAATATTTTATACTCGGGAGCTCGTATTATATTAATTTTAAACATATAAATTGAAATAAGCAATCTGACCGCTGGTGTCGAGAACGTGCCAATTTCCCCGCGTCAATAAGCATTGATTTCCGTTACTAGTGCGTATATTTGGATTCACATCACTCAAGCGATGCGTCACCAGATGGACAAAGAGGACCCTTTATAATAGTGTTCGATTATTATAGTGGATGGGGACGACCCCATATTGGCTGATAACAATAATATCTTATAAATAACACCGACGAGAACACTGTTTAGTTTTACTTCTATATATTTTTATTGATCATTTTCATTGTATCTAATTATTGAGTCATCATACCATACCCAAATACATGACGCTATGTACCAGAAGTCAAAACCCATTTTAATAAATTTGTCAGCCCATGTCATTATTATACAATGACACGTCCACAATTAATAAATTTAAATATCTATTAGAAGCCATAACTATTACTTATTTTCATAAAACATCCTAAGCTGTTACACTTGTCAGCACATTATAACATTCTCATATTGTACTATGCAGTCCAAATTATTAAAAATATGTTCATTGGGAATAAAAAATTCACAGTTCTCACCACATTACAAACAAAAATGACAAACATTGAACAATTCAAATTATTTTGTAAAATCAATCATGAACCTAAATAATATTATTGAAATCAATTTTTTTCTTAAAAACAATTTTAACTCTAAGTTGAGCATGTTTCTATATCAGAACGAACATAACTGTTAATAATATTACTCAGTGTGCAGTTTTCTTAAAAATAAGAGTATAGAATTCACAATTTCGACATTATAAGTTGAAAAAAATGCATGTTCGAAAGTAATCGGGTTATGACAATTTCCAGTTTCACTTAATAACGTTAAAGTCCACCAATACATTGCGAACTAACTTTCATAATGTTGAACGTGACGACGCGACATCGGCGCGTGCGCGCGTTCGTTACCTTTGCGAATCCGCACTCACTGTATGGGAATGACACCTCGAAAGTGTTTTACGTTGGTTTACCATTTTTAATTGTTATTTTTCTTCTAATCCTACCTGAAAATTAATTAAAGATATAGACTCCAAATTATTAAAATCAATCGATACTAAAATAAAACGATCTGTACCTGTCGTGGTCCATTGCATACATCTACATTACGTTTTTCAGATAATCCTCCCATTAATCTTTCCTAGAAAATAAGATTGTTAATTAATAGTTTGTTCAATTAAAGTAAAAAATCAGATTATACTTTAATTATATTATTTATATATAATATTGAAATGCATAATTAATAATATAGAATGTGCGTCTGTTTCAAGAAACGGGTTAAATATATTTTATTACGATCATAATTGCTTTAGAATAAATATTATTCAAGTTTATGTAAATATTATTCAAAATAAGTGCCGTAAAATGCCATGCTACTTGTCAGAGTCTATGTGACTAAAATGTACACATAGAAGAATGTCGTTGTTACAAAAAGTTAACATCGATGCAATAATATCAATGTATTATGTCGCAAAATAAACAACCGATTACAGTTTAAATTATGATTTTATCTTTATTTCACCAATTTGGTAAACTATATGATTATTTAAAAATTCTATTATACTTTAAAGAATCCATTAGTTATTAATCGATTTAGGTAATTGAATAATAAAACAATCACTCAAAATCCATATTGATTTTAAATTTTCTCTCTCACTCTCTCTATCTCTCTCTCTCTCTCTCAGTCGTGTTCTTTGACGTCACGACAGGCGCACCAAAACTTCCGGTGTTTAGAATGCTCGTAGTTGTTACTTATTTTCATAAGTTATAATTGGTTACTCAATTTTAGTTATTCGGTGCTTGGTAGTTTTGACACTTATATAACGATATAAATTATATGAAAACATTTTAAAAAATGTGCATATTCTCTACTGAACATTTTCAATTTATACCTGCGTGAGCCGTTCGGCATCTGCAAATGAATTGGTGTGATTAGACGCTTGTGCACGCTCCAATTCACTTTGTAAACTGTCTATTTTATTCTGCATCTATAATAAAAAATAAATAACAATTTTAATAGGGACTCAAAAGTTTATCCAGAAAATTGTTTTTAAAGGGACTAATATGACAATACGTTTAGTAAACCAACACCAGAAGTATAATAACAAAGTCAAAAAGATTTTGACTGCATACATTCATAAGCTACAAGGTCATCAACTTCATTATGAAATATAAATCAACTATATAAATCAAGCTGGAACGTCACAGTTGTGCTATTTTAAGGACCTTAATCAATGACGGCAATGGTTCTTAACCAAAAGCACAAATAGTAAGCAGTTTCATTTACGAAAATATTGATTAAATTGGCCCTAAATGAGATCCCTGATGCACAACCAGATTAACATATTCTGCTAAACCTGATATGCTATAATGCACGATTACAAATTTGGACGAAAAAATGAATTCTTTCATTTCAGAAGGCAATTGTTAAATCCAACATATTTATTTCATTTTGTTAGGATCAATCAAAAGTTCTTTAATATCTCCCCAAAAAACTTACTTTTATAATTCGATGATACTAAACATGGAATATGCCATGTTATTTGTGACCTAGAACTGGCTATGAAAATATGATTTAGGCGCCGCCGCCTCTTTTCGTGAAATGTGACTATTATTCAATGTTAGGTTCACTTTTATATTTTTCTCTAATTAACATAGTGTATGCAATCAAAGGAAAAATAAGAACATAAATTTCTTATAAAGATAATAAAATGACAACAGATTTTGACGCTGGTACAACGACACAAACATTGACAGTGTTTGTACCTCGGATATGATCGTAGGCAAAGATTTTTCTATGCAGGAGTATGCAAACGCCAGAGGTTCCTACATGAAGTAAAAATTCGTTTAACAATCATAGTTAATATATATGGCTCCACAAAACAAGCTTATAATCTCTTTCCACATATATTACTTCCGAATATATAACAACAGCGAGTTATTTATACCCACTCACGTTTTATGTTCTTAATAAAATTGCAATAATAGAGTATAGGGTACACAATTATTACTGTCTGTACTTAATTATCAAAATTCCCGCGAATACGCAAACTTCTGTAATGGCGTCACAATGACGTCACGACCCGTCTTAAACTAATATCGTCAAATGAATGCACACGGTTTAATTCCCTAAGTTCTGATAGGAGTAAGAGGAGACGTGACAACAGCGCGTGATTACAAAATTTTTGATTTTTCATAATAAATTTAAGAAATATTATAAATATAATAAGCATAAAAGTGTGATTATCGGTAATAGAATATTAAATACTACCACAAAAAAAATATATGTATTTAATGTAAATCACGCAAAAGGAACGCAAATACATTTTTTAAATCTGCGAATTATCGTAGTATGATATACTGACATTTGTAATTGAACCGGAAGTGATAAAATGGCGACGTTTAGGATGGCCAGCTGTAATATACTCGTATGTACCTGCAGTACGGTCCTTGTGCGTAGATCGTCGAGTTCGCGTTGCTTATCGGCTAACTGCTGCGCCCAGCGCTGTTCTTCCGTCGTCACGTTCTGCTGAAGGCGACTCAAAACCCCCTCCTATCAAACATACGATTACAATTTATTGAAAATCGAGTTTAAATTGGAAATAGTTATTCAAAAACACTTGCTAGTATAATGATATTGATGAAAGCATCAATCACCATAAAAATTATGTAACACTTGTATTATTTTTTGTAATAATATAACTTTGTTGCGAATATTAGTTTAATGATATCGATGAATGCATCAATCTAAAGTATGTAAAACTTGTATTGTGTTTGTGATAATATAACTTTGTTGCGAATATGGATTTCATTGTAATATAATATAAACCCATTTCTAAAGATATAAGATTAGGAAATCAATTCGTGAAAAATGTATTATTGTCTAAATATATTAAGTTGTTCTGAAACAAGTTTATCAGTTAGTTTTCCAAAAAATATATAATAAAGTAAAAAAAAAAACAGCTTTTACATTAAACACTAATTTGGGATCGAGTCTAGATGAAAATTATTACTGATCATCTCTATTACCAAATATACTTACAGTGTCATCAATTATTTTTTTGTATTTATCAACAAGGCCTTGCAGCTGCTCGTTCTGCATTTCAAGGTCAGTTAGACGTGCGCTCGACTGGCTTTCTTTTTCGACTACTTTTTCCACAACCCTTTCTACCACTCTCTCTTCGACGACTTTCTCTGCCGCTCTCTTCTCAGCTTCCTTCTTCTCTAACTCTCTCTTCTCCAATTCCTTTTTCAGGTTATCGGCGAAAGCTCGCAGCCAGTCGCTGCCAGTTTTATTACCAGGTGCTGCCGACGGGCATACTGTCCTCAATACAGTTGCAACTTCGTTGTACTGCGCTTCTTGTGCTTTCTGAATTGCGTCCTATTTCATAAATTAATGGCAATATTAACTACTTGCTTTTTTTTATTTATAATAACAATATTAATTATTTTACACACATTACCTAATATAATATAGAAAATAATATATGTGACTTTCGTCCATCCCATGAAATAGTTATATCTCTTTTAGAACCGTTTTTTTAGAACCGTCCACAATATTTACATATGCTATATATATATCTTATTCTTATATGCAACCACAGAAACAGTGGAAGATCCCACAAAATTTCATTGTTTTCAATTGAATAACATTTGAATTGAATAAATGAAATGATGCCCTATCAGCAGGCCTATTCACTAACTTAACTGACAGCTTCGTTGGAGTCACGGTAAAAAGTGAACAATTCCGATGTGTCAAAATTACTTATTCATATGACCGCTTGCCCACAGCTCATTTATTTCAATCGTTCTCAGCGTTCCAGAATAAGGGGGCAGGTCTTAGTTATAATGAATATGAAATGAATGAGGTGGTAAAAGACAATCGATAAATGTGCAATTTGTGGGCAGTAATACTGGAAACAGTATTAGTAATGGCATAAATGGGATGGCTGTTTATTTTTAAATGGGCGGATGTATCATTTTTATACTGAATTTTACAAAATATTTTATAAAAAAAGAATTGATAATCACTGAAATTATTGAAGTGTAATTGTAATTGAAAATTTCGTGTAAGAAGAGGCTAGACTAGAGCATACGGAATACGTTACATACAGTCTTATACTAATTTTCAAACACTAATTCGAGCACAATGGCCATAGATAGATAAATTATTTATTTATCATAAATACGTTTCCGTAAGCGACCAGTGATCTGAATTATAGAAAAGCGGAGCCGGCCAAAGATAATTCGTATATTAGTTGTTATAGTTAGTCACAATGTGCACAAAGTATAAAGCGGGACTTACTCGCAGCGCGTCTTGGGCCGGCAACGCACTTGATGATTTCGTCTGAAGAGCTTTTTCGGCAGACTGTAAAGCTTCCATTACTTTCCAGTTTTTAGTTCGTAACTCCTAAATAGGAGAGTCAAGAATAAGAGAATGGTTAGATTTATTAAAGAGAAAAAAATGGGTGAGGGTAGAAGTGATTTTGTTGGGTAGTTTCGTTTAAATGTTATTCAATAAATTTGTTAGTTGTTTTAAACAATGTGTATTCCTGTAAATTTGACTTACATTGTTCTTTAGTTGGTAGGCGGAGAGTTGTTCCCTGAGTCGTGTTAATTCATCACGTTGGTCGCGACTGGCGGCTTGCGCGCCGGCTAATTCTCCACGTAACGCTTCCACTACACTCTCAACCTTCGCTAGCTCGGCCGCCTAACCAATAATGAAATAATAAATATATATATATAGGTATATAAAACATAAAAGTTACTGATTGGGTAACTGATCTATAGATGCAAAGCTCAAAATTACTGAACGAATCGAACTGGAAATTTGGCGCACCCAAGTTAAAAATAAAGACATAAAAGCTTCGAATAAAGCATAAATATCTTATGACAATTGAAGAATTTCATTAAAAATGAATTTCATAATCATATAAACTGCGCCGGCGAAGTCGCAGATGGAAAGTTAGTTTCCATTATAATATGAAAATTCGGTGGTCCACAGACTACTGTTCCGTGTAGCACTTAACTAAATGATAATAATAGCAATTCTTAATGAACACGAACGTAACAAACGCTTCTTATCGTAAGTAATTCAAACACTGAATTGTATTTAACTGAAGTTACAAAATATCTTAAATGTGAAAGTGTTAGAATCTTGGGAGGAAGAAACAAAATTAACATCAAATCAAAACTATACTGATAATAAAGCTGAAGAATTTTTTGTTTGATTGAACTCTATAGTCTCAGGAACTCCTGAAACGAATTGAATTATTGTTTATGTGTTGAACATGGGTCAATACATGGGTATCGAGAAAGTCTATGGGCTGTATAACATCACGCTATGGTTTTAGGAGTGGAGCAGCAATGAAAAATATTGCAAAACCGGGAGAATATTTTACTTTTTTAAAGCTTTTCTTGCGTGCGCTGCGTAAATGGTGAAAGTCACACAAAAATCATGTATTACGAAATCGATTAAAAATACTCAAAAAAAATATATAGGTGACTATTAACGAGATACTTTAATACTTAACTGAGGGGCGTTAATTATGTTTGCGAAAAATGTACTAAACTGTCGATAATTATGAATGAGGAACTATTTAAAAAAAATTGTTCCCGAAATCAAACTAGATGTCGCTACGGTACGTTCTTGATTTCTCGATGACAACCCTTCCGGTTTTCTTTCATGTTTAAAAGTAAATTAGTTTTCAAAACTTAATAAACAACTCATATTATATTTGTACCTTTTCGTATTTGTAATGATATCTAAGTTTTTCCAATTTCAGTTTTTTAATATGTTAGTTAAAAGGAACGGAAATGACTGTCTTTGGTCCATTCGTTTTACTGCAAAAATTAACTTTTGCTAGAGTCGCCATCTTGTGGAGGTGCATTTTTAAATCTTTCGTTTTTTTTTTAAATACTTCATTACTAAAAATAAAAAAATACTTCAAATGAGTGACTAATGGTATGAAACAGTTTGTTGTATGGGAGCCCCCTTAAATATTTTTTTTGTGTTTTTTCTTATAATGGCAACAGAACTATATCATCTAGGAAAATCTCAACTGTCTTAACTATCACGGTTTATGAGGTACAGCCTAGTAGCAACATATCATGTTTGTTGTAAAGAAGTCATCCCTAAATATACATTTTATTCTATTGTTGTTAAAACGGCAACAGAAGTACATAATCTGTGAAAAATTCAACTGTCTAATTTTCAGAGTTCACAAGATACAGTCTGGTGACATACAGACAGCGGAGTCTTAGCAACAGGGTTGTCGTTTTACCCTTTGGGTACTGAACCCTAAAAATTACAGATGATGCCGAAAATCACTATTCCATGCGGACGAAGTCGTGGGCACAGCTAGTAAATATATATTTATAACACTTGCAGAAAAATAGTTGAGCATATACCTTATGTGAGTCAGTAGAAGGTAGGCCATTTTGTGCAGGGGCTGCCTTCAACTGTCGAAGTTCCGCCAGTTCTGACTCTTTCTCTGCAAGTTGCTCCCTTAGTGATGAGATTTCGTGAGAAAGCTAAATAAAACAATATGTTTATATTTAAAACAAAATCTTAATGTATAACTTTAAATAATTATAAAAGAAACAATAATAACTGATTAGCAAATGCTACTTTCGGTTACTTTTGCATAAAGAAATTTTGTCTTGATGCGATATATAACCAAGCATGGAGCATTCATATTTTATTGAATAACAAGACTGGCGAAACTTTTTGCAGGAATCACTCAGTCAATAAAACGTGTTAGAAGATAGGGTAAAGTAGTATGTAATAGTGAAATTTCCTATATATTCTGTAATATTAAGTTCTAATATGTACCTGTTGTTTTTGTGTTTCCATTTCTTCCTTCAGTTTATCCAAGTTGCTCTCTGCAGCTTGCGCGCGGCTTGTCAATCTTTGTACTTCACTTTGAAGCTCGTTTGAAGCTATAAAGTAATTTTTTTTTTTACAATATGGGGAAGGTATACATCTTAGATTATATGTCCAGATACTGTGTCAGTATCCAAAAGGTGAACTTAAAATCTGACAAAAAAGGTCTTGTCGACGCGCACGTTTGTCAAGATTTTTTCATTAAAATGACTGTTTAGGTACTGAAATCAAGCTTAAATTATAGTCATAAGAAAGACAATAATTTGAGCATTACTTTTTAAAAATAAGGGAACAATTTTGCTGGCATATTTCTTTCTAAATCATTTAAATAAAAAACTGTCAAAAACGACCAAATAGTAAAGTAATAAATATATCCATAAGAATTACCACAAGTGTAAAAAAAAATCCCCCCTTTTTATAATGTTGTTGCTTCCCGTAAATCGTTTGAATAGTCCAAATGGTATTAGTTTAGATTATTATCTTAGAAGGCGCTAGTGAGTACTTATAAAAAAATTACAAGTGTCTTTTTTGTTGGTAAAAATTGGTAAAAAAGGAGTGAATCAGTCATAAGCAAGGAAATGTCCCAAAATAGCGCTTTCTCTGTCCCTATGTATGATTAAATCTTTAAAACTACGCAACGGATTTTGATGCGGTTTATTTCATAGATAGGGAGATTCAAAAGGAAAGTTTTTATGTATAATACAAGACGACGCGGGCGAAGCCGCTGGTGGAAACCTAGTACGGTATATAACTATTAGTTGTTTTTGTAGGTGTTATAATACTAGAATACTGACCGTTGAGCCGTTCTTGCGCCTGTCGTAATTCCTGTTGCGCGAGTTGTTCCGCGTGTACGGCACACTGCCGCTGTTGCTCCAACTCACCGTACGCGTCATTGGCATCCTACCCACATCAAGAAACACTGTTACAATTCTACTTCTAAACCCACACTATTCAGTTAAAGATACAATTAGACTTGCTAGAGGAAATAAAACTCATTTTAAAGGATAATTACATTAGTTGTGTAAGTTTAATTGGCTGCCATCAGACAAATAACTGGAAGTACTAAAGTAAAAATTTTATAGAGCAAGTAATAATGTATAAAAAGTTACAGTGAACATACAACGTTTAATAATAAAAACAATGGCCATCGAAGACACGAGACGATAAAATAATCGCACAGTCCCGTCTCAAGAATAAATACCGTTGTCAAGGACGTACGACTATTTCTTTTAAGTAACTTACGAGTTCAGTGTATACCTACGTGGTATACCACAGCACCATACCTGACTCAAGGACAGAGTCAATTTTTTTTTTTTGCTAACGCAGGGGAATAGCTGAACCTGACCTCAGGAGCAGTTACCTGCAGTTGTTGCGCGATTTCGGCGGCGTGTTGCTGCGAGATCATCATGGCGTCCCGCGCGGCATTGACCTCCATGCGCGCCTGGCCCAGCTCCACCAGGCGCGCGTTCAGCTCCGCCTGCAGCGCGGCCAGCTGCTGCACCAGACCACTCTCGGACTGATAACAACACAACAATCATCATCAGCCCTTTTACGTCCCCACTGCAGGGGCTCGGACCTTATGGATGATTAAGGAGGCTGGATTATGAACCTCCACGCTGGCCCAATGCGGATTGGAGGGTTTTAACGACTGCAAATGCAACCGGGACCAAAAGCTTAACGTGGTTTCCGAAGCACGGAGTAGCTCGAGATAATAATTTTTTGGTCACCCATTCCGTGACCAACCCTTGTCAAAGTTGCTTAACGACAACGGTCGCGGACCACGGCGCTTATCCACTACGCCACCAAGCTACCATGACAGCAATGATCGATAGCAAATATTCACTAATAATGAGAGACAACGAGTTTCAAATATCAAGTAATCAGTCGCACGTGAACTCTCGAAAGATTATAGTCTTGTCGTCACACATGTAAGAAAAAATTATCTGTGCATCAAAAGGACGGAAACGCGGTTTAAAAACATTTGAATAAACACTGTAGTGTGTCTTTGATGTAATTTCATGTTTATTGAATTATGACGTCACAGCTCGAAATGTCAATTAGCTGATTGTTTCCTAGCGTGACCATTAAATTTCCCTTATTTAATAACATTTTTTTGGAGAAAAATCAATCAACTAGTTTAATATGATCATATGAAAGTTTTAAAATACTCTTCCCAAGTCAGTCAAGAAACCAATTTTGATCTTCAATACAAATACATATTAAATTTATATTATCGCATATTACAGTATGGAGATGGGATTAATATCGTAATACAGAAAATAATATTTTGTAAGTGTGTAGGATAAAAAATTAATAATAGTCGAAACATTTGACACAACACTACCTAGTATTATGATACTGCAAGAAAGACTCTAACGAGTCTGCCATAAGTAGCGTCGACAGTAATTTTGTTTGCTGTTTGCTCGAGCAATAAAGTAAAAATATGAAGCAACAAACCTTAATAAAAAAATAATAATTGTTGTAATTTATCAAAAGCACATTCTTACACTTTTTTTATAAGATAAGGAAGGCGAAATACTTCATTTGCTGCACTTCGAAATTTAGTCTTTTGAAGATTCATCTGTTGTATCTAAGCGTACGTTGATTAACGTAACATGTGTAACTAGAATGTAAATAGTTATTGGAGAACAAGGTGAAAAGGTCCAAACAAACGGCCAAAAAGCCACACAATAAGAATTCAAATTTAAAGCATGTAACTAGAATCAAGCAGAAGAATAAGATAATTGTAATTTGAGAATAGAAATAGACAAATAAGTAGGTAACATAAAGTATAATATAAATTGGGTAACAAAAGCAAATCTGTAAACATATCTGTATAACAAGATAAAAAAATGTTAAATAGATATAGAAACAAGAGTAGATAAAGATGTAAACATAAATGTAACAATAAAGATAAGAAAAAAAAGGAACGTAACTACAAATAAGATAAAAATAGAAATAGCAAAATGCGAGAATGTACAAATAAATACCAAGGTGTTGAGTAATTTCCCCCAGTAATCAATAAGAATAAATAAATAAGGAAATGAGTAGTGTAGAGTAGCGGCGAACTGAACCGATTAAAGGCTAAAAGGGGTGATGCTAGAACTGAAATGAATGAAATAAAATACTTATCAAAGGAGTTTAAACAGCCTGCCACTGTGTGAGAAGCGGTTGTAAGAAAACCTTTCTAATATGTTGGGATTTCTCTCTATGTATTCCACTGATGGAATTGTATCCAGGTTGATAAATAAATAAATTTAAAAAAAATCTCACCACGTGTTTCTCCTGCACCAGCGCGTGATTCTCGTCCACGAGCCGCTGCAGCCGCGCCTGCAGCGTGTGCAGCTCGGCGCGGTGCGCGGCCGCCGCCTGCTCGCTGGCGCGCGACGCGGCCGCCGCGCGACCACGCTCCGAGTTCAACGTGACCCTGCAACCGTTACATATAGGGTATGTTCCGATATACACTGCGACCACTGAACAGTATGACGTCAATTTAGTATACTGGAAGCCCGTTCCTTTATAGCTAGTTATGCTGGTGACTTTCTAAAACGGAACGCAGTCCAGTATACTGTTAATCCTATTTTTTGGCGCCATTTTCAAATTTGTTAATGCAAGGTGAGTATAAATATAAAGATTCCCTCTTTTCGAAAGAAAATATTATAAAATTGTGTATAAAAAAATTATTTATCAATTAAATCCATCTTATAATGAACGTGAGTAATTTTTTTTTGTTTATTTAGAAACTTATCATTTTCTGATTCTGTTTCGACTGATCACGTGATCAAAAGCACTGCGAGCACCTGCACCTCGAAATCTCCGGTGCTCACAGCACAAATATGGCGGCAATTTATGACGTCATAAATTTCCCTAGGGTACTGTAGCAGTGTACTGGCAGTCCATAACGGAACGGATTTTTCAGCAGTAAGACCACTGCGCAGTGCTCGCAGTGTATATCGGAACATACCCATAGGCGTATAGAGGCTAGAGGGTACAGTCTTGTAACGATGGGCGACTATTACTTAAAAAAATCGAATTAGTCGATTGTTAAGTTTAGTCGATAAAAGTCGATTACAATTGATGCTATTCGATTGTTGTTAACAACTAAACCTTGCGGCGGTAGCGGGCGGCTATGACACGCTGCGGCTACCGTTATTACTTATTCGATTAATTTCTAGCGCAGTGCGATATTGCTATACCCGTACGTACTACTTAAGGTGGGGTGCGGTGCGGCGTGCGCTGCGCTCGACTGCAGTTATTATGTGATTGGCGCTAATACGTTATTTAGTTGTCTGTTTAGTAGATTTGAGGGCACATCCATTAGATCGTCGCAATGTAGTTGTTACTTATCTACAATATCGAGCGACGAATAATGTTGAAATATCATACAAACAAACCTTGAAATGTACCATCGCTAACATACTACATCTTTTTAGGGTTCTATACCGAAAGGATAAAAACGGGTCACTATTACTGAGACTTCTCTGTCCGTCCATATATCCATCCATCCATCCGTCACGAGGCTGTATATCCGGACAGCTTTACAAATCCTATGGACTGCCAAGCCTGGCTACACAAAAACACATTAGTTTTTCGTGTTCGGAGTTCTAGTCAGAAATTCAGATTCGGAGAGTCGAACGCGCACGTTTCTTTCGTATTAGAAGTCGGTTAAAAGTATCAAAGCTTTTATTTACCTGAGTTCCTTTAACTTTGCATGGACAGCTTGGCTCGCTTCGATTTCGTCAGCGAGTGCCTTTTCCTTGTCTGCAAGTTGTTTCTTCAGTTTCTGCATCGGGTCATTAGGACCCTGTCAACATTAATTTCCTATTTTAGTACAAGATCACACACAGACAAAAGATTCAAATCACTACAATCAATTCCATTTGTTTCCATGTACAAAATGTAAAAAACCAGACACACAACCTACTATAAGGGTGTTTTTTATGTAGTAGTTAGTATGTAAAATAATCAATACTTTTTAAATCATACTTGACTTGAATTAGATAAAAATGGAAATTTTACTGTATAGTTATTACTTGAGAACATTTTTGTAATGATGATTGCACCTACCTCTGTCCACTCAGAGTGTTCTGGCAACGGGTCATGATGTTTGTTCAACAATGCGTCGGTTAGAATTTGTATCTCAGTACGGGACAACGCCGCTTCACGGATCACGCGCACTAATTCACCTACATTTACACCGCCGCCATCGCCTGCAGCTAATTGGATAAAATAACATCTTCAAAAATCATGTAGGTAGCACCGGATGTTTTAAGACGTGACATCAAGGGCAAATACCTTAATCATTATAGTTACATGAAAACGTTTTTATAGGAGATAATGTTAATTTTTTTAAGATATCCAGAATTGCCATCAAATTTCTGGAAAAGATGTACAGTCAGCGAAAATATGCTTAGTTGTTATTAAGTAAACATAGCACAAGTGAAGCCCTGTTGGGGCACAGCAACAATGAAGCAACTATTGCCGTTTTTACTCAATTAATTAACTTTTTAAACTTAATATATTATTAAAATTTATAACATGCATTTATAATCATAAATGTTTTTCTCATGAGGTATTCTTCAACAGAATAAAAACTTTACTGGATAATAATGTTTTAAATTTTTTACCAAAGCATGTAGCAACTGCTCGTTTCGTATTATTGCATGTCATTTATTACATATTTTATACCTTAAATGGTCTCATAGTCTTGTGATATTTCGCATAAAATAATACTGATAAGTTTTTATATATATTTTTTGTATTTTACCATTTTAGTTGAATTTTTTTTTTCAAAATATGCGATTCCGTCCTAACCGCCTAAAACTTATGGATGGAAACCAGAAAACGATTTTTTGCAACTGTTATGGTTAAGTATCTGTCCTTACTGTTTCGATAAATTCCACCCTCTAAGATTACTCTATTCTCAATCACATCGACGAAGCTTTTTAAGCATGTAGGATATAATTAAAAATAAATAATAACTAACCCATCAATGTCAAAACATTTGGTTCAGGTTTCTTTTTCTTGCCCTTGGCAGGAGGCGAGGCAGTAGGTGCCGCCACAACAGGCACGAGAGCTTGCTTCAGCAACTTTTCGGTAGTGAGTTCACTAGGATGAGGTGCATTCAGAGGCAACACTACTTCCTCTTTTACTTCATCGGCAACATCCTCAGCGGGTTGCTTCTTTTCGACCTTTTTAGCTGTAAAAAAGTCTTCTTAAAAGCCTATAAAACTAAACGCTTTAAATAAAATATTATTAATGTGATGGAAGCGCTTTCTAAGAACTGCCTAAAATAGTGCGGATAGGTGGATGTCAACAACTGTAAACATAGTCTATACTATCAACTTTGGGTGCCTTCAGGAACATTGATGAGCTTGAAATAAAAAAAATATTGGCCAACAATATGATGTGAATGACCTTTGTGAAAGTTGCTTTAGCATATCAATGTTTGCGTTAAGATACATTAAGAAAAATTTTAAACTTTCCAATGCTATTATAAATATTTGTTATGGATAAAAACTGTTGGACCAATATAAAGTTACATTATAAGGTAAGTAAAAAGATGTCATGAAGTTCTCGAGATTAGATTGTAATCATTACTTATAGTGAATTTTGCGTTCACTCGGTATTCGAGATAGTCATATTATTATTCAATCAATATTCTACAGTTTTACTGTATAGTTTTTTGTTTGGCAAAGAGCGTAATCAAAAAACTATTTTCATGAAATGGAACCGACTTCAAAACTTTTAAAAAGTGATAAATAATACTTATCTCAAAAGCGACTTATTCAAGATAATACTATTAAGTCGGGCGGAGGTTTTTTGTAGATTATTAATTAAATGATAGGCGTCCGATTTCGATAGGATTTTCTTGAATAATTCAATATCAAATCAGAGAACATATCTACTTTCATAAAAAATTGAAACAAAAATTCCTCCTTTCGGATGTTGAATGAATTAAAAATACGCAATCTTTTGTTTTTAAGGTGAAACAAACTTAACATCTAAATATTTAGGTGATATCTGATGAAAAGCGTATTTTGGATTGTTATGAGAGGAAAACTACTCATTGGATTTCGATATAATTTTAAAAATCGGTCAACAATTAGTATAATATATACATCGCACTTCATATGTAGCCTCTACTTTTGAATTTTAAGTCAGTTAAAACAAAATATAAAGTATAATTGAAAACATAGCCATGAATAGTCTGAAAATGTGTCTGAACAGCTGCAATATTAAATATATTCACAAGTAATTAATTACTAGTAAGCAAATATTATCGACACATTACAGTCATTATCTCCTCTGCCTATAAACTAGGTACTACTTAGTACTTGATCATCATTCACACTTTAATTGTAAAAAAAGGTTTTCAACATACATTTTCGCTGTTCCTTTGGGAAATCCCCACTATTGTTTTGTTCGCGAGGGGTAACCTCTTTCGGCGGATCGACAGGTGAGGTTTGCTTACTCGCCGCTTTGGCGACTTTAGCAACTTTCGGCGGTTTGGCTTCTTTCTTTTCAACTGGTTCTTCTTTCTTCTCCAGAACCTTATAAATTAAAAAAGAAAGTAATGTATATTACTAAAGCTTTCCGCCTGGGCTTCGCCCGCGTCGTCTTGTATTAAACATAAAAACCTTCCTTTTGAATCACCCTATCTATGATAAAAAAAATAGCATCAAAATCCGTTGCGTAGTTATAAAAATTTAAGCATACCTAGGGATATAGGGACAGAGAAAGCAACTTTGTTTCATACTATGTAGTGATTGTCGTGTGAATTTTATTAAAGAGATAGTAAAGTTTTTAATACTTTTGTTAGGGCAAAAAAAAAAACAGAAAATGTTTAATTAAAAAATTGAAATTCTGTACTAGACATATTATAATATTTATCATTATCTTTATTTTATGTGAAAATATTAAAAACAAAACTTATTTTATTTCATATTTAATCAATAAATTTATTTAATGCATTTTAACATTGCCTGCAGAATGCGTTGCACCATCCTTTCTTGGCATATTAAAACAATAGCTTTATCGTTATGACGTCATCTAACCACTGCCAAATATTGCAACTCATTATTTGCTCGATCGGTACTTTAATTATGGTTACAGTAACAGATATTGTTAAAATAAGCTGGCGCAACCAAATTGTTTTTCAATTATTGAATAAAAAAAAAACAAATCCATGTTTCAATCAACCAACCATACATGCTTTCTTAGAGTTAATAAGTTCATAAATAATAACTGTTAGTGATAATGCAATGCACTTGCAATTATTCATCTCATTAATTTAAAAACTAACATTTCATACTTATGAGTATGTTAAAATAAAAACACCCAAACGAATATAATTACGAAATGATAATTCATGCAAACTAAATAAAAGTAGTAACAGTAATATTATTTTGCCTAGCATTTCTTTGTTACATTTATATAAATAAGTTAGCAAACAAAATTATCGTGTGTAGACTGTATTATGTATGTCGCAATATGATACGTACCTGGTTGTGTTGTGATAACAACTATCACTATTGAATCTACTATCGGTTATCGTCAGGTTCACAGCTACCGACAGATTAGTCTGCCTATATCTGGTTTGTAATTACCCATCACCTCTGAACCCCAACAACAGAATTAGTACAAAATTAAAATAAAAAAACAAATTACAAATAAATAATACATAAATTAACATATAACGCACAACACATACATACACACACGTACATAACAAAGCTCGCGACTTAGTAGTGTACAGGACATGTTACAGAATGCGACCTTTAAGTGTGCGACGAACTCACTTTTTCTGTAGCGAGTGCAGTATGCAACAACTCGAACTCGTCCTTCGGATGCATCTCCTCAAAATGATTGGAGACTGATACTGTGGGAGGCAGCGTGTTGGGATCGCTAACGCAGCTCGGATCCTCTTTATTTAAGAGTATCGGCTTTACTTTAGGATCTTTACCGCGTTTGCGAATCTGTACAAATATGGTTTGATTGTGAAAGTAGTATCATTCACATTTGACTAATGTTCATAGAACCTTAATTAAGAATCGTACTATTAAATCGGAAAATAATAAGTATACAGTAAGAAGTCGAAAAGTTACTAAATATATGTAAAAGAGTGTTTAAGATAAAATAAATAGTTTATAGCAGGTATGGGCAACCTTCGACATGCAGTGAGCTTATTTTGTTTATCCACCTTGAAACGGCCACCCTAAGGTGTATACTCGGAAACGCGTGTTTATCTATCCATTCTGAACGAAGTGGATAACAGATTCTCGCCCGTCTGTGTACAGTCATTTAAAAAAAAGTATAAACCCAGCCCAAGATACTTGGTACCTATAATAAAAAAAAAGAAATGATTTATTTTGTTTAATGAAAATGTGATTTTTATAAATACACGATAGAAGCTTTTGTGTAGTAGACAATTTTATTCCACTGTACTTGGGGTAAAAAATCGGAAAAACATTCAAAAGTGACTTCCATCTATTATTCTTCATTATTTATGATTTATTATATATTTATAAATATATTCTTGAAATCTCCTTAATATATACAAGATTAAGTTTAGATTTTTACTTCAAATTGTATTCAATCCAAAACTGCTAATATCTGTGACTACTTAAATTCTTAAGTTTATGTTTACATGAAAATTTAAAATTTATGTTTACATGTTATGTGTTTTACATTAATTTTTAACATGTGTAACAGGTGCCTATCATCTTAAAAATTGTATCTATGATATAGTCCATGCGAATTGAAATAAAAATTCATTATTAGTTATCTTGTCTGCTATTAATTTCCTATTGTCATTATTATGTTAAATGGGTTAAGGTGAAAAACGCGTTATACCTACTGTTAAATCCTTATAACAAATGATTTTCCAAAAACATTCTCAGTTGAACGTCTACAATCCGACGCCTACAATCCAATAAAAGTTTCACTTGTGTCTTGGTATCTTAAAACCACACAATTTTTTTTTTTATTAAGATTTTCAAAATGTCTCGCGGGCCGACTGTTGCCCACCGTGGGTTTATAGTGTTTATATTGATTTCTCATTAAATACCTAACTAATACTTCATGATACTCCCCATGACATTGAAGATCTAAAAAACCGAGACATCTTGAAAACTTTACAATGTTATTATCATGTTAATAGGAATTCAAAAAGTGAAGTGGTAATACAAAAAAAAATCGACTTGTAGCGTAGGTGCAGAGGTCATCATTTATGAAATTAGTAACTTCAATATCTAATGTGACTTTAATTAATCCTGATATTTCACTTAGTCCATGCAAGAATTACTATTATGAATGCAGTTAGTTATCATCACCATAATGCAGAAGCTATCATTGATGAAAAAATAAATAATAAACAGATATACTATGCAGCAGCATATACAATACATAGATAGTTCATAAACAGGTTTTTATTTGTGCTATAATTATATTAAATTAAAGCAGTTACATCTACCCTGCCATTTTATATAAGCAGTCTCATATAAATTACAGTAATTGCTTACCTTGATGGTTGGTGGCACATCTCTTGGAACATCAACAACAACAGGAGGGCGGAACTCTACATGAGGCTTCTCGGACGGAACTGACTCATCTTCCACTCCACTCTCAGCAGGTGCTTCACTATCAGGATCAGTCCCCGTTGTACCAGCATTGTCTTTAGTTTTTTCTTTCTTTGCCAACTATTTTTAAAATAATCAATATTTACTACTACCAAATATGCATTAAACCTACACATTTTTAATGTAAGCATAAAATTTTTCAGTTTAGATATAATCATTCTATGTGACATATTATTTTTTGTAACAATATTGTCAACAATTTGATAAAAATATCAAACTCTTTCAGAATTTGAAGACGCAATTCATATTAAACTATGGAAAATAATCCTAACAGAAAGTCCTGAAAGATAGAGCACATTGTAAGGCAGATAAAATTCCCATGACACTATACCTTCATATAAACTAGATTTCTTAAATAAACAAAGTAATTATATTGTTGACTCACCTTCTTTTCCTTTTTTTCCTTCTTATTAGTTTTCTTCGCCTTATTCCTACTTTCAGCTAGGGCAAGGAGTTCAGTTGTGACCTTACGCTGTTGAGCAATAGCTTCCTCATAGCTGGTGCCTGATGCAGAGAACAACCCCATCAGCAGCAAGACGGCAGCCGCGCCCGCCACTCCCACCCCACATAATACCAGCAATGCTTGCAGTTCCATAGGATCTGCAATACCACTTGTTTGCTTAATGGAAATATTTTTAAAACTATAAAAACTACTTGTTCCTAAGTCATAGCCATTTAAAGTCTAATTTAAGGTTAAATAATTAGTTTCACTATGCTATATTGCATTGTTCCATAGTTAATATAGTAATGATTTATTTGTTTTCATAAAGCAATTCTCAAAGGCTTCCCCTTATGTTAATTGATATACATATTTAAGAAAAATACTTCAATAAAATTAACTTTTTTCTTTATTCAAATAATTATTGAAAAAAGCTCCTAGCTACATTGATTCAGGTGCAATAGAGAAATATAATATAAAACTTGTTACATACTATCTGTTATTTGTTTATACACTCAGCTACTTCTATTCTATTCAGTAGTTTTTGCTAGAAAGAGTAAAAAATTTACATTCCGTAAGGATGTAATTAACTGAACATTAATCCATTTATTTGCCAATGCAGACAAGGAATATTTTTAAATTTAATTCTAATACTCTTATATTTGTAACAAATGTATGTCTAGTACAATAAATATTAATCAGTACAATAAGAAAGTAAAGAATCCCATATTCTTAGACAGTAAACGAAAATAAATACAATGCGTAACAAAAATTAAACAAACAGACAATACAGTAGTGTAACAGAAATAATACAGTAGTGAAACTTGAACAAATTCTAGAAATAAATATATAAGCTGCTTTGGAGCATTAGGGTTGCCTTCTTAATAAAACTAGTTAGTAAGCAATACTATATTATTTTTAAAAGATTTTTATTGTTATATCTTGTAATATGTTACACACTGAAATGTATTTTCGTCTGTTACAACAAGATTTTAACATTTTTTTATTGAAAATAAAAAATCCTCATTCTTATAAATATTTTTTTAAAATAAACTATTGGGAAACAGAGGCAAGAGGTATTAAAGGTGATCTTATCTATTTCTTTTTTATTAATTCTGTTATTTTACTGCTAATGTTTTCTTTACTAAAACAACTGCAAAAAATTATGTCCATCTTCTCGATGTATTGCACAAACTCATACTGTGATACAATTAATAAATTTTTATCGGCATCTTTTTTGTATGCCCGGTATTTTATAATTCGCGTTTCTGGAGAAAAGTTGTGGGTTTGCTCATATTTCATCTATATTTATAAAATTAAAAATGTTGTCTACACCCCTATTAATGAAATCAGATATCTCTGAGTGTAATTTATGATATAGAAGTATCAATTACAACATATTTTCATAGATTTCTTAATAATTATTTGTTTATTACATTTATTACAAACTATTTATTGTAATTTTGTAAATTTCAAATATGCATTAATTATACATTGTAAAAATAGATATGCTATAGAGCAGACATACAGCATGGTAGCAATTTGATGCACACACTATACTAAATTTTGTTTAAAACCAGTAATGCTGCATATTTATTTCAGTAAACAACAAAGTTTATTACATGTAGTATACATAAGTATAATTACTTTTCTTTAATTAAGTGTTACAACAAAACAGTGTTAAACCCAAATCAAAATTGGATTTTTTTAAATTGGAGTCATTAAATTTTAGAAACAGGCTACGCCTTTGTTGAGAGTTACTTGAATGAGAAAATTAAAATAACTAGGAAAATAGTTATTACCTTGTTTTAAAATGGCTTAACATTGACTCACTTTTCACACAATTCAGCAAATTTTATGTGAATAAGCATATTACGTGATATATTTTTTTAATTCGTAAAGAAATTAATATTGAGATAAAATTAACAACAATTTAAGTTTCTTTTCCTGTGATAGTTTACGTTTAATTTTCTAAGAAAGCGAATGTAAGCTGACACGTAAGCAATGACACATGTCAAAGGTTATTGACAGTGCTATGCTGAAAACAGAAATCACTAAATAAAGATACGTATTGTATGTAAACCTATATATAATTAATAAACTCGATTAAAGTATTTGATGTAGTTGCAACATGCAGTATAAAGGAATTCATACTGTAATTATCGAGTTGGCAATTTCCCCGTAACTAATAAATCTCATTACTTACATGACTAATAATGTTGGATGTTGGTCTCTTGAATTAGTTAAAAACAAATTATGCTTTTGACTAAAAGTAAAAAAGTATCATTGAAGAAAATTACTATTATTTCAGATTTCACTAGGAGCACTGCACTCCGGCTTTTTCTCACCAGCGGCCATATACAGTGTTGCAAACTTTAAGCCCGATTAATTAATGTTGCCAACGCGATAGATGAGGTGAGCGCTATACCTGTTGTTTTTTTCTTTTACCAATTTCTAGGGCCCCTTACCCTAACGATTGGGTAGTGTAATAACACTCGTATCTAAAGTGGAGAGACATAATAACTTGAGAATATGTCAGAACAGAACTTAAGCAGATATTTATATCAAATAAACAAGAATTTGAACGAAGTAAGAATGAGGAAATATTTAAAAAAAATCAAAAGCACTAAAGAAGCACCTCCACTAGATGGCGACCCTAGCAAAAGTTGATTTTTGCAGGAAACGAATGGACCAAAGACAGTCATTTCTGTTCCTTTTAACTAACATATAAAAAAACTGAAATATGGAATGTTTGAAACTTGGATATCAATACAAATACGAAATAGTACAAATAGAATATGAGTTGTTTATTGAGTTTTGAAAACTAATTTACTTTTAAGCTTGAAAGCAAACCTGAAAGGTTGTCATGGAGAAATCAAGAACGTACGGTAGCGACATCTAGATAGATTTCGGGAACTAATTTTTTTTTAAATACTTCCTCATTGATAACACGGTTTTTTTTAGTTATGGCCTAGGTCAATAGCTCGGTAGCGTGGTGGATAAGCGCCGCGGCCCGCGATCGTTGTCGTTAAGCAACTTTCGCAAGGGTCGGTCACGGGATGGGTGACCAAAAATTTATTATCTCGAGCTACTCCGTGCTTCGGAAGGCACGTTAAGCCGTTGGTCCCGGCTGCATTTGCAGTCGTTAATACCCTCCAATCCGCATTGGGCAAGCGTGGAGGGTCATGGTCCATCCTCCTTAACCATCCATAAGGAAGGCCCGAGCCCCTGCAGTGGGGACGTAAAAGGGCTGATGATGATGGCCTAGGTCATTATAATGCATAGTTAGAATTAGGACTGAGACACATTTACTGGAATAAGTCTTTGGAATAAGTTTTTGCTTGAACGTCTAAATACTAAGTATCAAATAAGCAATCATCGCTTATCGAGTATTTAGAAGTATTGACTTATTCGTTATTCACACAAATTCTGAGACTTGGAGACGTGGACGCAGACTCAGGAGTCCAACGCATTTCGAGTATTAAGAAGTCTCGTACTCACACAAACTCGGAGACTCCGAGACGCGAAGACACGGACGCGTTCGATCTTAGTGTGAGTGAATCAATTCCTAATCCTAGGGTCAACCTTTACGTTATGTGATAAAATTGCTTTTCGTTTGCACAGAAATTAGATAAGCGTCCGACGCCATCACGTGTTAAATGTAAATAAAGTTTATAATCTAGCTTCCAGCTCGGACCTTTGATTTGTCGTGTATTATTTACAATTGTAAAAACTAATACTTAATAGATGCTTACACGTAATAATAAAATAATATTATAATATTTTTTATGGTATTGGGGTATTCGGACTAATTTATTTAATTTATTGAGTGTGAACAAATCATAGTCTAGTGTGAGGGTTTATCAAAAAACTGAAGTTTAGCCATACAATTTATTTACGGTATCAATCAATATCTTGATTGATGAATCACAAGTTTATATAAATCGTATAGACATGAGGTCATAGTGGCATAGCACCATCTGCTGCGTCAAATCGGAATCAATTTATTTAATCATACAATGTACTAATTAACTTATATTGTTATATTATATTTATTGTTTATTATTGTGCATTATATTTATTTATCATATATTTTATTTATATTGAGCATAAATCATCTATGGGTCAGTCAAAAGAAAAAGCTATTACCGTACATATTATTTAATAACTCAATGAATGAGGAAGTATTACAAAAAAAACATGAGTTCCCGAAATCAAACTAGATGTCGCTACGGTACATTCTCGATTTCACCATGGCAACCTTTCCGGTTTTCATTCATGTTTAAAAGTATGTAATAGTAGTTTCGTTACGATATAGCTTCATACATATGTAAATCGAATGAAATTAATTAAAAATTAATATCAGTTAGAAAATAGTTTTTATATTTTTCAGAGATAAAAAGGCGTACATCGTTGCCAGTGCGATATTTGAAAACTGATAGAAAATAGTTCGATTCGTTTATTTGCACTACGTAACGTAAGACTAATGTAAGAGGTTTTTTTACCAAATCCATCATTCTAAGTTAAAATAGCTTTAAGCGCTTGTGCATTTTCACACAAATTATCTCTCTGTGTATTTGCAAGGATAAGATACCTGTTTACCATCATATTGAGGTGTGAAAAAGTATTTATTCAGATGAACTTATCTTATTATAATCATCATCACCATCACTGCTACAGTTTGCATTAAAAGATATTATTACATCATTTTCAATGATGTTGTCTATTCTCACACCTCTATTAAATTTTGAATTAGTTTCAGCAAGGGTGGCTCAGTATTGTGACACGCGTCATGACCCTTCACTCATGCCCAAATAAACTCTATAGCATTGTACTGACAGTAATAAGGAGGCAATCGAATAACTTCATGTCCATGATCAAGGGCTAATTCCTCGATTATATATTGACGCTTGGACGGCTGTGTGGTTTTTTCAAATGCAACAACCCTACTTTTAATGAAAATTAATTTACTTCCACGCCGTTTCTTTCGAACCCAGAGGTAATTTCTTATTTTTTATTTGCTTGAGTTGGTGGTTTATCAACTTGGACTGAATGATAAAGAGTATGATCCATTATAATTGTGGATGGTTTTTGTAAGCTGACAAGCAATTTCTCAAACCACTCTTTAAAAATTTCTAAATTCATTTCTTCATGGTAATCACTCGTAGTTTTAGACGCAAATGCTAGGATGCACTCAGGAATAAATCCTTCAGAAGCTGAGCCTGCGTGACATATTATAAGTCGAGCTCCTTTTCCAGATAGAACCTTGAGTTGGAAGCTGCTGTATCATCGGTTTGCGACCAGTTATGGTTCGCATTCAGCCCTGTTTCATCTACACACATAAAACAAAATACGAAGTGTCATGATAACATCATAAATAAAAGGGATTTTATAATTTCATAGAATTATAAACCCTTAGTAATATACATACAACCCGCTATCAATTGTTCACTGAACGAGGGCCTATAAATGATAGATGAGGATACGAGTTACTTAATCTAAAATCAGTCATTTAATGCTTATATACAGATTTTTAAATTATTTAAAAAATAATGTTTGTAGTGAAAGACATTGTAATAGATTCCACTTACACGGTCAACCTAGCGATGGATGCGATTTTTTGGGCACATCGCTAGTGTTCAAAAAGAACTGGTACACATACTCAACCTTGTAACAGTGTTCACTTTATTTAGGTTTAAATTGATTATTACATTTAGAAAGGTTTATTGGTTAAAAATAGTAAAATTAAAGTCGAGATTGCTAGATGTCAAAAGTGACTTATTAAAAGTACCCAACTTGTTATTGTGGTAATGAGGAAGTATTTTAAAAAACATTAGTTCCCGAAATCAAACTAGATGTCGTTACGGTAATTTTATGATTTCTCTATGACAACCCTTCCGGTTTTCTTTCATGTATAAAAGTAAAAACAACTCATATTCTATTTGCACTTTTTCGTATTTGTATTGATATCTATTTTTTGAACTTTGATAATTTCAGTTTTTAATAGGTATGTTAGTTAAAAGGAACGTAAATGACTATCTTTACTCCATTTTTTTTCTGCAAAAATCAACTTTAGCTAGAGTCGCCATCTAGTGAGATGCTTTTAAGTACTTTCTTTTCTTAAATACTTCCTCATTGCAACTGATCTGAACTTAAAACTAATAATGTACACGATTAAATTGGACACGACACTCTTTTTAAGAAAAAAGGATCAAGGATGTAACTGTTTGGAACATAAGTTGTAAATAAAAAAAATATATATGATTAAATTTTAATTTTTCTTCTTTTTTAATTCCTCTGGCTGGAGTATACGCAATTTGTATCAAACAATTATTCAAAATAGTTTGCAAAAAATTGTCGAATACCCTATTGAAGTAATAACTTATGTAAATAATTTTAATAAATAGACGACAATTTGAATACAGTAAGAACCTGTATATAGTATTCTAACGAGTGTAAATACAACCTAATTTCTAAAAATATATTTTATCACTATCGCGTCAATATGCAAGGATCGCATATCACCCATCACTACCATCTAAAATATGTCAAAAAATACGTAATATATCCTTCTTAATCTGTGGTCAAAACGTCGCAAATGTCAAGTCAATTAAACAGCTGTCCATAATCCTCTCATCCTGAAAAGTGTTATTTTTGAGATAATTTAAGTTGAAATTCTCATACTGATGCTTAAATTAGGCAAGGATACATAACAGAAGATCATTGTTTTTCAAAATAAAAGGATGTCGATTCCTCCTCTGGTTTGTAGTACTCCTCCACCACCTGAACAGTGCGAGGACGACAAAGAGCCCGAAGATTTTGATTTGCAATATAGTTGTGAGTAATTTAGGAATATTTATCGTTTATTTATATTTGTAGCATATATATTACTTTAATATAGGTATTTTTAACTTTTATGTTGTTAAGATTGATGGCTGTTTAACAAGGCCCCCAGTGCCACATGTGGGACAACCATTTATATCGTCCCTACAGCGATGAAAAACGTGCAGTGACATCTATTATCAATCTGAACACAACCGTTGGATATTTAGCAACAAAATAATACAAAGCATTGCGCATAGATGTTGCCACTGCTTCCTGTTTAGAGAGTTTGGCAAAAAAATTGAGTAAAAGTTTTACGTTAACCACTCTCGTGATTTCACCAATTTCAAAAAATTAGTAATCGCATAGTTCTGAGTCCAAAAAAATTAAGTGAGAAATAAGGGAGGGTATATTATGCAGAGGTAAGTTATTTTTTTATATTACTGTAGTAATAGTATTTGAAATCGTCATTTTATCTATGTGCCACATACGGTACGTTGAGCTTTCGTGCTTCGTTTTACTATTTCGTACTTACGCCAAATAATTACTATTATTTTATTTTCTTTTATAGATTTTGTCGCGAAGAGGATTGTGTAGTGAAGAAATTGAAGATTTTTTGAATATCCCTTCTGGGAGTGAAGATGAGGAGGATTTTTTGACGCTGGAAGTTAGTTATTCCAACAGCTGATATCGAAATCACTTAGCGACGAGGAAACTTCACTACTGCCGCAAAGACCATCTTTGTCTCCTGCCAATGAGGATGTTCATGTTGTGAAGGCCTGAAATATCAGACCTGCAGCCTAGTACATCAGGGACAACTACAAGTACCATTACACAATCACGGGCACTTGGGGGATCATCAACTAAAACCTTTGGTTCTACGTCTGTTGCCATAAGAAATAAAAGGAGATTCATTTGGAGAAAAACAACTTTTCATTCACCTCATTCTCCATTTACTGGAGACACAAGTTTACAGTCACCAATTATACACTTTGAAACACCCCTTCGATATTTTTTGTAGTTGAGACTATTTTATCATCTTCTTGATATTTTTTTGATCAATAGCTGGTTATTGTACAAAAGAGTTGGAGAACAGAATAATACGCGAATTCCACTAAAACAAAAGAAGTTCAAATTTAAGGTAGGCAAAAGTTTATGTATGTTATGGTTTCTGCGTCTGAAGAAATTGAGAAGAAAAGAAAGAAGCCCAATACTGCAATCCTACCTCCTTGTGAGTTCAGACGTGAAGGGTTTGAGCATGGTCTGGGGTGAAACAAAGAAAAGACAAAGATATAAATAGCCTGGTTGCATAGGAAGACTTTATTTCTTGTGAGAATTGTCACGCAGAACTTTGCCTGAATAAAGATAATAATTGTTTCTGAAACTTTCATAAGAAGCTTTTTCAAACATAATTGTTTCTTATTTCATTTTGTTTCAGACTTTGTAATGTACATCTTTATTATGTTAATAATTATAAAATAAAAAAAGCTCGTGATAATTAATATAAGATACCTGTTTCCTAATTATTACGTTTATTGTAGTTCAGTACCAAATAGTATAGTTAAGGCTCAGTGTACCATATATGGAACTGAAATAAAAAAATGATTTTCTGGTAAAATATTGGATTATTATTTTTTTATATATTTTTTCCTAACTACTAATAACTAATTACATCATATATATTTTTTCCACAACCAAAAAAAAAATTGAGCCTTGTACAAATGCACAAATGTGTTTTAGAAATGTGTTGTAGTAAGTTGTGACATAGAACTTAATAATATTTCAAGTTAGTTATAAAGCATGTTTTATGTTTTATATTTTTATAAGACCTTTTTTCAATATTCAAAAAATTTACTCCACACTGCCTCTTTAAATCAGTTACTTTTTTTTGTGGGGACTTGAATGACATTGAATTTGGTGATCTTATTTTTAGACTCTCAAGAAGAAGACGAAAGCAATGGTTTTGAATTTAACAACTTTTCAGCGTATAATATCCACACATCTGACAACAATAAATTACCTATTCTATTGTCATCAACAAATGAAAATGTAGATGTGACATGTAATAAAGCAAATAGTTGCAAAGAAAATGAAGACAAAGAAAGTTTAAATCATATCCCTGAATTACCACATGAAGATGATATTCATATAGAAGATTTAAATTTAATAATACATCAAGAGCCTACTAATAGCAATATAAAAACTAATCAAGAAATTAGTGAAACTGACTCAGATGATAAAATTGAAAAAGACTTACAAGTAAACATTCCAGATGTATGTAATAATGATAGTGAAAGTGATAATAAATTAAGTACTTTGAATGAAGATCAAAGTGATAAATTTGAGTCTCCTTCCCAAGAGACTATAGAACCACAGTCTGATAATATTGTAACAAAAGAAGATGTCTGTAATTTAAATTGTGATAATAAAAGTACTGATTTTGCAATTGAAGAATCAATAGATAACAGCAGTCTAAAGAAAATAGATGATGATTTTGAAGACTTTGATGAGTTTAAATTCATCAATGCTGATCGTAAATCTGAGATTTTGGTAGAATCAAATGATCCATGGGGAAACAGTGCTTCAGAAGATATTGAATTTGGTAATTTTACTGCCAACTTTGATAACAGTGACTGTGCTTTATCTCAATCTATATTAAGGGAAGAAAAGTCTTCAATAACAAACAAACAAGTAGAAGCTGAAATTGGTAACAGTGATGATGAGTTTGGAGACTTTGATGAATTCAAATCATCTGCAACTGATAATGGGAAAAATATGGAACTGGTGCAAGAACAGATAGTGCAAAATCAACAAGTACCTGTATTGAACTTTCAGTCCAGTAATGAAAATCAAATTATTGAAACTATAAATAAAGTACTAGAATCAATATTCCCAGAAGAAATTTCTGACTCCGGAGGTGGTGATAACTTTCAAAACAAACTCGATATCTCTTTGGGTGAAACATGGAGTTATTTGAAACAGACTGATACTAGACAACCTTATATGGTGAACTGGAACAATTCATTAGCTCAGAAGACACTTTTAAAAGCTCTGTGTATTGATTCAAGAAATATTGTAAGTTTCCAAAGCTATATAAGTATTATTTGCTATATAACCAATTGTGTTGTGATGTTACAAACTAGATTCCTAATTTTTCAATATCTAAGAAGTGAATTTGCATGTTTTATCATTTGGAAATTTGTGTTACTTCTGTTAATAAATCCTGTTTGATACTCCTGCTTAACCATTAATAAGGATAGCCTGACCTCCTGCAGTGGGTACAAAATGAGGCTGATTATGATGATTCTGTTAAATATCATAGTAGGGGTTTGATTTAAAACTAATTCTAATATTTTGTCTTTGAAGCTAGTGTACATAAAATACTCTTCTTACACCAGCACCAAATTTATTGAGTATATTTTATAGTCTTGCACAAGAAAAAAAAAGTAGACTAATGAGTACATAATGTTAGTTTGTATTCAATATAAATTTTCAGTTATTTGGACCAAAATGGAGTTTTAATACACCTAAGTATGCTGCAAATTTAAGTGCAGCTCCTCTCCAGCCACAGAAACAGGCGACACAAAATACAATTGCTTCACAACAGTCAACAGATTCTGACAAAACAGTTACCAAGTCATCTTGGGTGGATCCTTTTGCATCTGATGGGCAGGACTGTATGTATTAGTAAATTTTTTATTTATATCTTACTTTTAATATCATTTAATGACCAATAGTCCAGATTATTAATTAAAAGTTCTTTAAGAAGTAATAAAGGAATGTTTATATGTACATAAGCGTACATTTGATTGATGATTAGCACATGCACTTGCATTTAAAATGTAAATTATGTATTACACATTGTACATTTCAAAGTATGTATGCAATTCACTTTATACTTTACATATTAATGATATATGGTATAACATATAACACAAGGACAATTTGCTTTTAAATTACTCACAATTGTAATTTTGTTGCATGTCTTGCACATGGATTTTCACCCTCACATATTATCCTGCTTTTCCTAATATCCTATAGTCACCTATGCCGAAGCCTTACTCCTAGATTTAGAACACCTCATGGCCACTTTAGACCAAATGGCTAACAATCATTCCACCCTAAAGATTTCCGAGTTACTCTCACATGGTAAGTTTTTACCAAAATGAATATTTTTTTAAAGCTAATACATACCCCAATAATGAACATCATGAATGCAGGAAGAGGGGAGAAGTCTAAATATGCCCATGGTCAACATATTTACAATACTGTACTATGAGTCATCAGTTTCAATTTTAGGTGAACCACCCACCAAAACGATCTTGACTAATGTAATGGTACTTTAAATTAACCAATTCTTAAATCAATGATAGATGATCTTCTGGGTAGAGTTTAAATTAAAATCAACTGTAGAACTTCGGCATATTGTGGTAATCTGACATTGACTTTATATCTGATTACCACAATATGCTCATCAACTCAACTTTTCAGAATCAGAATCAGCAACTTTTGCTAATTCTCTAATTATTTTTAAAAATCTCCATCAGGGTATGGAGCATGTAGTTAAATTGAAATAATGCAGGATTAGTACCATTTAGAATTATTGAGGTCACTAATCTATATTTTTATATTTCAGCTTGCAATGTGGAAAATGAAAGTAACGCTGCTGATTCCCGCCCAGTTGATTTAGATGTGTTTGAGGCCGCAACATCAACAAACGCTGATAAGGTTTATTCAAGTACTTTAAGCATACAACCTATTCGGCAAATTAATTTGCCAGATACACACATTTTCACTCCTACTGATTCAGAAACCCCGAGATCGAAAACTATACACTACGATAATAACTCTTCACATAATATACTACTACCTCAACCGATTCTCTCTACTGTGAAAACTCAGCTTAATGATTTAGCATCAAAATCTAGTGATTTACAAAATAATGATGAATATTGGGAATTCCAAGAATTTAAAAGTAATTCTGATATTACATCTCCTGTCTCAAATACGAAAGCAGAAGAAGGTAATAAAAACCCTCTTCCAAATGCTAACTACATTATTGAAACGCAAGTTTTACAGCCTATTAAGATGGAACCTATAATGCCCACATTAAACTGGCCAAATCCTGGTGAGGTCAAAGAAATTATTGATGATTTCTCAGATTTTGTATCCAAATCGGTGCCAATAAACGAGAAGCAAGAATGCTTGTCAAACAATGAAATTGGTAATGTCAAGAACGAAAACAATTTAAAAGATTCATCTTTGAAAAATAGTGAACATGTTGAAGATGATTTTGATATGTTCCAATCAGCCTTACCAACCACAAATCAAAATACATCAATGCAAAAAACTGATTTTAATCCAGATTTCCGAACAATGGAACAACTAAAGTCTGAAAACATATCATTTAGTACTACGAGACCAACTGAAAATATTATCCAGAAAATAGGTAATTCATCAAATTTAAATGAGCTTAAAAGTAACACACACCCATCTGGAACACAAATACCTAATAGTAATATACTACAACCAATAACTGTAACACCTACAACACAACAACCTCAACAAAAAGCTGGTCAAATATTACAGCCCTTATCATTGGAGAGTTATTCACAAATTAATTGGCCGAATCCAGGCTTAGATTTACAGGATTTATCAAGATTCAATCCCGTTGAAAGTCTTCAATCATTAAAAAGTGATTCAAGTAATCATAGTAAAAATTCATCGCCTATTCATAATCAGAAAATGGTACCTAATAGTCAAACAGATGAAGACATATGGGGTGATTTTGTTTCGATTAAGCCTAAAACACAACAAACACTGCCTAAAAAGGCACCCGTATTCGCCGATGACGACGAATGGACAGACTTTGTATCGAGTCCAAGTGTGAACTCGCAAAACGGCTTAAATACAATCAGTTTAAATGTAGATACTAATTCTAGCTTTCAAAAGTCATCTCATCCTAGTAAATATCCTATGAAGAATAACGATATTCCACTTGACATACCTACATTGAACTACATCACACCTAAGACTACTAATCAAAAGTCATACAATGAGAGGCACTTTCAAAATTTATAACAGCACATTTATGAGTTGAGCTCCTATATATGTACTTAGCATGTACAAAACTGTTATGTAAATAGGGTGGTGGTTGTGTAAGTGTAATGTAATATTTTTTAAATATTTACATCTAATAATCTATAATTACCATAAAATCTCTGTGAATTTAGAATAAAAATATGTACATAAATAGTTAAATTAGTGTTCTTACTAGTTATCGCGGACAGATAGTAGTGTGGGAAATTTAAAATAACTTCATTTTCTATGTAAATAAAATGTATTATGTATGATAACACGTCAGTTTGGATAAAATGAAAAAAAAATCTGAAATTGATTCTAAATTCTAATGGCAGTGTATTGATCGAGAAATTTGGCTGGTTTGTATATCCTGATTTGCTGTTCACTGTACATATTGATATGGTTTTTAATTAGTTTTTGTGAATTAAGTAGTCTATAAAAACATCAATTAAATCTGTATTTTGTTACGTTATTCATATTAAAGACAATAAATTACAGTACAGTGTTGTGTTGCCAAAATTAATTTGTTTATAAATACATTTGCTTCCTATTTTTGTAGTTAATGCATTAGTATCGGTAATAAAGCTCTCACTGTCGACTATCGTCCAAGTTTCATCAAAGAAAATCCTAATGCTTAATGCATATTTTCTCTGATCTTCATGGACATACATATATATTTTCATAATTTCCATTTTTAAAATAAATTTCTAAAATGTAATTTGATTATAGACACTTGTATTTCTTCAGTATTACTTTATGTTTTAATTTTTTCAGCTAATTACTTTATAATTATTGGTACAGATTTTGTTAAGTATCGATAAATCTCTTTTGAATTAGTCATGTTTCTGATTTTAAAATATATCACAGCACATAAGCAAAAGGTGATCAGTTTTTAGATTACAAAATGTATGATATCTAGCATTAAGTAATCGAACTTTAGAAATGATTGGCATGACTTAGTTTATTTAGATTCTATAGAGGCCGTCCATTAATCACGTGATGTTTTTTTCAACATTTTTAACCCCACCTTGGGTGATAAATGGTGAGGTTTACGATTAGCCCCCCTCCTCCCAAATCACGTGTATTTTTTAGTACCTACAAAAAAAATCTTAAATTTTGACTTTGCTTTTCGGTTCAGTAATCGCGTGTTTGTGAAAAAATAAACACTCGTGATATATTACTACACTCCCCTTGTGATATTTCGTGATTTTTGACAACCCCCCCCCCCCCCCTCGAGCGTCACGTGATTAATGGACGGCCCTATATTAAATTTTTATATGTATATAAAAATAAACCATTGTAGTTTTCTTATTAATAAGGTGACTAACATTTTTTTATTTCTTCAATACTGGTTTTAAATCTATTTTGGTGTGAGAGAGAGAACTTGAATATTTTTACATAGTGTCAATAGCAAAGATAACATGTTAATATTATATTAATGCAATCTATTAACTGTTGTATGAAAAAGAACACGTCATTGGGTATTATAGGGTTATTCGGAAAACACCATCAAACTCGCAGGGTAGATATTAAATCATAAAAACAATTTTTGATATATGAGTTTAACCATAACTTAACTACTTGGAATAAAAAACAATTTTTAAATTTTAATTATACTCTCATCTCATTTATAAATTCATATTTTATTTATAAACGGAAAGGCAAATATGACGCGTCGTGTAAAATACGTTCTTTTTGATAACGCATGTGTAATGCACTTTTAACCAGGGCTCTCCATCCACCTCGTCCTGAAAAGGTGGATTAATGATTAATGTGGAAGGCCAACCAGGTAAAACCCGCTGCGGATAGGAAGAACCTGGTATGTAAGATTCGGTTGCCGTGTGAAGTACCTACAAATTGACATGTGGTACCATTATAAACATTTTATTTCAGATATAAAAAAATATAGATGGTGCCACCAGTAGTGATATTCTGTTAAAATACACAGTTGAACACAGCGCTGTCACAGCATTAGAGGTTCAATCAAATAAAACTTTTATTACCTACCTATCGAAGTAAGTTAAGCAATAGTAAAGCAGTACCAATCATGAATAACTCCTTTTCAATTAGGAGATATTTCCCGCAATCCGGGCGAATTAGCGAAAGAATTAGGGTTCGAGGGACATCTCAGAGTGCAATGGGACAGTGGATTTTTTAAGCATTTTTCAATATAGCGTTGTGAATGCAAAATTAATGAAATATAACAGATATTTGTTAACCTATGGTGTTTAGAAATTAAAACGTGCAGATTTTAGATAAAATAACTCGTCGTCTCCCTACTTATCTATCGCCATCTAGTTTAGAATGTGGGTAACAAAAATACCCCCAAAAATGCTTGACTTAAGTAGTCGCCTACTTCCTTTGAATTTTTCTATCCGTACTATAATAGTATAGCATACTATTATGTGTGATATATCATACTAGATGTGCATAAAGTTACTAATGTTTGTGGAGCGGTAATAAAATTTATTGTACCAATGCAAAGTTCGGTGGCCTGCGAGGCTATTGGTGTTTTACAATTAATCCTGTACAAAAGAAACCTACTATTAGTAGGATTATTTTTCATAACAGTTCTGCTTTCTGTATCACTATTTGTAATTATTATAAAATATTGTTATATCGTTTGTATAAGGAACATTAACATAGCTGATCAAATATATTAATATTTAGAGATTTTAATATTACTTAACATTGATTTTTGTATACTTACAACATTCAGATATTAGTAGCAATTCTTTAGCACAAAATAGACTACAAATTTTAATCATGCCACACTGCATTTTAGATTCTGTAACCTTAAAAATACAAGTAAAAATATTATAGTATACATTTCTTTGATTACATACGACTATGAAATAACATTTAAAGTTCACAAAAATAAAACGCATTTCCTAATATAATATTTGGATATCCTCCAAATCCGAGTGGTTCATTCGCCGATTTCAAGGTTTCGCGATCTCTGAGGTCTCGGCTTCGATTCACGGTCAGGTCAATGTAGAAAATGGGCTTTTCTATATTTTATCGGATCTGTGTGTTGTGTCCTTCGTTGTCTTAGATACGTCATAATACTTAGCTATTCATCTTGGAGTTGACCAATTTTTGTGATGTGAGTAAACAAAAAACGTTCCAATATGTCTGTCAGTCTGATAATAGAAATATATTAGGTACGTATTATTTTTTTGCTTTATCAAGGAAAAGCTTAGATAATGGGCATTAATGTTGAGTTGCTCGCTAGGTCATAACTATGTAAAAAATGTACAAATATATGACGTCATGCCATATTTGAACTCAATGTAACATCGTAATATTGATTACGAAAAAAATTAATTGAATGTACATGTCTCAGATATTCTATTCCTATGTCATTTCGAAACTCACTTCACATATGCCACGAAACGTTATTACCAATTTAAGGTTGAGGGGATGCCGCTTTTTGAAGTTAATTCGGACACCTTAGTGAATTTTTACAGAATCGCAGGGCAAATCAGTATAAGATTCATCATCACCATATCAGCCGTTCACAATTCAGAAGTCACTTCTAGAACTGGAACTAGACGAAACGCTCATAAATCCTTGTCGTCAAACTTCTTTTTATAGTTCTTACGCTAACTCTTACACTTTGCACCTGAAATATTGATTACAAGCCTGAGATGTTGTACGTATACCGACTCTTTTGTCTGTTAAACGTCTTCTCCAACCTTGTTCTGGTCGTCTTGGGTAAAAGTCCATCTTTCTGAGACGTTCGTATGTAGGCATGCAATTTTTCATCATGATTCGAAGATATTTAGCATCCAGTCAATTCGACGTCGGCTAAGCCCAGCATTGTCTAGTGTCACCGCACTAGCTGTTCGAGCTGAATTCAAAGGTATTTTATCAGTTCAGCCCTGCGATTCTGTAAAAATCCAGACCCGAATTCGAATTCACTCATGTGTCCGACTTCACGCCATTTAGTATAGAAATCCTATTGATTTCATTTTTTGTATAAAAATACTAAACAAAATTGATTGATTAAACGTGTCTTAGATATTTTAATCCTATATCATTTCAAAAATCACTTCACTTATGCTACGAAACGTTATTTCCAATTCAAGTTTGAGCGGATGCCGCTTTTTGAAGATAATTCGGACACCTGAGTGGATTCGAATTCACTTCATTTAGTGTAGAAATTCTATTGTTTCCATTTTTTTTATTTAAAAATAATAAACAAAATTGATTGAATATACGTGCCTCAGATATTCTATTCCTATGTCATTTCGAAACTATCTTCACTTATGCTACGAAACGTTATTACCAATTCAAGGTTGAGCGGATGCCGTTTTTTGGAGTGAATTCGGACACCTGAGGGAATTCGAATTCGGGTTTGAATTTTTACAGAATTGCAGGGCTGATCAAATTGTAAAACAATGACACATTTGTTCAAGTCAACAAAAATAGTGCCGATACATAAAAAAAAAAGAAATAGAACAATCTCTAACAATTTTAATTGATTAATTTTGCATTCATAATGCTATCGATATTTATCGTAAAGAAATATGAAAATTACAGGAATAAAATAATTCTCTAAAGGCCTACCAATAAATAATGTATTAACGTTTTATAGTTAAAGTGTTTTGTCTCTTTCTCTCAAGCCGAAAGTCGCATTGAAATAACGTGAACAGGGGGCCAATTCTACTAAATAAATTTTGTTTTTAGTATTTTGTTTGACAAACGATACAGTTGCAGTTCTATTTTAGCTGGAATTGTATCGTATGTCACTTAGTAGAATAGAAAACCCGTTAAAACTGTAGTTTCGTTCGGTTTCGATCCGTTTTCGATTCGATATAAACAAAATTTATTTAGTAGAATTGGCCCACAGACCGGGACGGCCTGTCCGTATAGGCAAACTTGGGAACCGACTAGGGCGCTAATTGGGGAACGGCGGGGCGTGGCAAATATAATCTATGTTTTCTTATTTATTTGTACTTATTTACTTTCTGTTCTAGTTCTTTGAACACGAGTCCATGTCCGGCATTCCTAAGTACAATATTTTCGGACCAGCCTAAGAAGTTTCTTTTGTCATTGGCAAAATTACACTCTTTAATCTGTGTAACTACATCATTCTTTTATTTTGGTGTGATATTTTATAAGCATGGCTGCAAGTTTAATAGAGCCAGCCTTGTTGACAGAACCATGTGAAACTGTATAACATTTTTAAGTTTGGTATATTAGTAGTAACTAAATGGTAAATAAAAAAATCTAAAATGAAGACAAGCGGCTAAAATTGTTTAATTTATTGCAAAATTAAATAGGCACTTTTGTGGTTACATAAGTTAGCGATATTCCATTTTGACAACGCTGGATGGATAATTGTGACATCGAGTGTATCATGTCTACCTTCATATGTGAAATATTTTCGACCTATGGTCATCTATTTTGTAATCTGGTACCTACCTGCCGTTATCATAAACAGTAGCTTCACAACTACTTAAATAAGTATATCGATGAAGAGCTTATATTACGTATAGACATTTTAAATATTAAGCCTTCGTTGAATTCGTTGTAATTATTTCACCTTCGATACAACTAATCATTTTTTAATATTTTTACTAGAATCTCTTACTGTCAATTACTTTATAGAGAAGTCGCAAGTGGTTTTATATATTGTTTAGAAACTACTCTATTCATTCCTCAATTATAGCGAGACAAAAAGACTATTGGCTGTATTATTTCCTCGTGTGATATTTTTGGTCACTTTCTTATATTATATATTGTTCTATAACAAGCACTTACAGTAAAAAAAAAACCAGCATCACGTCAAATTTAGTTTCCCCTTTCTGCGCCAAGCAAAAATAGTACTTATATGTTTTAGTGACAGTGTAATTAATATTAAAGTTACTGTATTTTATAATATAGAAATATTATTGTAAAATTAGTAAACATCAATGTTTTTGTACTGAAGGCTTTTATTAATTTATTTAGTAATGTTTTTTCTTAATGTATTATAATGTGTAAAAAATGTTTCTTTAAGAATTAACAATCCATTTAAAGAAGCATTCATACTTTTAATAAGAAGCAACTTGATGAACGAGATGTTAAAGTCTACTTAAATCTTTATTTAAGCAATATTAATGATTATGATAATGAATTTATTGTTACGATGTATTGTATAGTTAGATGTATATAATTATTCCAAATGTTTATGTTAAAATTAAAACATCTAGTTTCCAATGCCTAATGCAAAATAATTCTTGTAATAGGTTGTATTAAAATATTCACAATAGTAATATATTTATTTCAACTCGTCAATATAGTTTTATTATTTGAAACGTGCTCAGTTACTTTATCAATGTGTGCCCATTAGTATAGCAATCACTCTCTTCATTTTGAAAGGAGTTTTTGATTTATTAAATTATTATTTTCTGTATTATTTAACAGTCGCTGACGAAATATTCCGCAAATTCCACGTAACCAACGCATCTCCATTGGATTTATTTTACACACTTTCCCACAGCTCCATTTACGCCTTTTTCCAACATCCAATCACCTTTCTATGTCAACGATGGAACTTCTATCCAAGTTTATATTACACTATACTCCATTCATTATAACATTAGAAAAAAGAGGGTCACAGAAGCAGCAGTGCAAAACATTTTATATTCAAGATAAATTTTAAAAATATATATAATAGTTTTATTGACACTTTGATCGTTAGGTAATGTTTGAAAGAGTTGGGCAATTTTCCATTTTCTTTTGCGATGAGGCTAGAATTTTTTAAATTCATCGTTTACCCCCAAACTCAATATGGAACTATAACTATGTATCTGTCGTTTTGATAAAATTCTAATTGTAAATGTATAATTAAAATAGAATTTAGATAGATATATTTATGCCCAGGAAAAAAAGGTAAACAAAATTAAATATTTATTATTACATTTATTCAGATATTATTAGATTTTTGATTAAGATATTGGAAAAACTTCCTGAAATGTAAGAGGTAATGGTTGTAGGCCATTCGGACCTGCACCGGAATTGTCCATATTTAGCAAAACTTAACTACAAAAAGATAATAACTAAAACAAATCTATATGAGAACAAAAATAATACAATAAAAACTCAATCACGGAAAACAACAAGAAAGGCAATAACATTCACAATTAATGAGAATCCCAGATTACTTATTTTGACAATTATGAATACGTCATAATCTGACAAAATTAAAAAGCTGTACTACCGAAACGTTTGAAGGGATAAGGCAACGTTTTAAATTTGGTAGAATTATAGTGACATGTGAATCGTGCCGAGACTATCCAACCCTGGTTCTCTAGATTCTTTAAGATGAACACTTTTTATTGTAAGAGTTATTAAACCTTTTAAGTTAGTCAAATACTAATAATTTTGTTTAACAAATGGCTTAAACGACAAGTGTTAAGAATAGCAGCTGGTATTTAAGTGGATATGTAGCAAATAAGCTGTCAATCTTAAGAGTAACACGATTGTTAATATTTTGTCACAAAGTATACCATAAAAAGAACCTTATTTAACTTCTATCTAATGCTACAAACGTCGAGCTTAATAAAATCGTTATAAAAGAATAATTAATATATTAATTGATAATGTCAATAAAAGTCATAACTAGAATCATAGAAGAATTAGGGGTTTTTATTTGGTTACAGCCAAACTAATTTGGTTACCCATGATTTACGTACTTTAGTCAACAGTAGGTATACGCCAATGAAATAATTTGATATTTACATAATAATTGTTTTATTCTTAAAATTATGTTATCTTTACGCGTCCATTTCAGTATCTGAATGTTCCATGTCCTCTTCGATGTGAGTGCCAATGTTGTCTTTGCCATCGTCATCAAGGTGTAAGACGAACTTTGGCAAGTTATTTTCCATAGTTACTTTAAAAGGGGATTGTTCAAACTCTGGCCACGATACAAACCTAAAAGTATAATTTACATTATAATTAAAATATTAGTAGACAATATTTATATAGGTACCTACTTTTATATTTACATACTGTATTTTATTTATTTAATAATAGAGGACGTAATTTATAACAACGAAAAACCTGTTGTTGCAGTAAAGTTTTAAATTATTCAATATATACGAGTATCTTACATATACATTAAATAATTGATATATATTTTTTAACTTTAATTTCATTTTTATTATTTCTAATTAAGCAATTATGTGGCACTTATGAACACTAAAGTTTGATATGTATTTTTTTATTTGTGAGTTGACGATCACTTTATCGGACAAATAAGATTTTCCCAAAATGCTTAATAAAAAATATGTAATTATAATCATACCTTTTGAAAACTGTTACTTTTTGTTTCAATGTTAAATCTCCAAATTCTGTGAATATAGTCATATGAGGAAGTTCAGCATCATCCTCTCCTGGTGAAATATTTTTATTGGTGTCTGGAGGATCTTGCCCTGATATAAGCCATACTCCACACCCAGGTATCCATTGCCTGAAACATATTATTTAAATTAAATACTCATAATATCTGAAAAGTAAATTAAACAAACAAATAATATATACTTACTCTAACATTGGTATAACTTTTGTGGACATAGAAAATACATGGGGTTTGAAAAAATACCACAGTAGCGGTAAATACTCTGATTGACAAGGTAGTTTGTCCTTTTGTGTTATGTTCACAAGATACATGTTGCATTCATCCATCTACAAGAATTATGTTAATAGTATTATTTATTATAATATTCATTATTAAACGAAAGGAATGAGTCTTCTCAGTTGGTCTAATAGTGTTACATTTTCCTAATAACAAAGACAGCATCAAAATTTCTTATACTTAAAACTACTAGTATGTATTTTTTAAACACGCAATACTCATTAAATAATACTATTTTATTAGATAAACAGCCAGTTGCACAAACGTGCATTAAAATCATTAGTAAAGTAATTTTGACATTCAATAGAGCTTTAAGGCGTCATTAGCGTTTACGTTTGATTATTTAAAGACGTTTCGAATTCATTCCGAAGGATCCGAAACGTCTTTAAATGATCAAATATGATCAAAAACGCGTTTTATCCATATAAAATAGTTTTATTTAACACAAAATTATTCAAATTCATATTTATTTCATAGCTATGTAGTGTATGTACTAATAATATTTAATCTGTAGCTATACTAACGGTCAGTTGCACAAACGTCCACATTAAGGTTCAGTGACGTCTTTAAGCTATACTGAATGACAAATTTGTATGACTAATGTATATATACAACGTGTCCCAAAATTCAACGATAAGCGGGCGCCAAGAGGTAGACCTGCTCATGTGTACTTATGGAAAAATAAGAAAAAAATTATATCTTATTAATCTTTTTTATTATAAAATAAAATTCGAAAATTTTCGAAAGAGTTGTAGCGAATAGTAGTGCTACTTAGGTATCCGATACCAAAAGAAGATTGAACATAATTGAGAAGTTGTGGTCATGGTAGTTGAAAATATCATAAAAGGTGTAAATTTTCGAAGATTTTTGAATTTAATTTTATAATAAAAAAGATAAGATATAATTTTTTTCTTATTTTTCCATAAGTACAAATGAGCAAGGGTACCTCTTGGCGCCCGCTTATCGTTGAATTTTGGGACACGTTGTATATTTATAATAATGAATTATGCTGCAACCTGTATTATGCTTTACTTACAGATAATTTCATGACTTACCACAGATAGTTTCTTGATATTAGGTGGATATGTCCATGGTAAAAAGTGTGCTTTTGGTACACTGCCCAATACTTTAAAGTCAAATAATAATTGGAAAAGAGCTGGAAGTGACTTATGTTTGCCAGTTTGTACTTGAGAATCTGTAAGAAACTGAATACTGGTTCATTAAATATATATATAAGACAAGTTTAATAATTAAATATAAACTCCCTTACTCATCTCATCATAATCAGCCCATTTACGTATCCCCACTGCAGAGGCTCGGGCCTTCCTTAAGGTGGGCACTGGGCATTCACGCCATTCAGTGTAAATCCGAATGACTTAAGTTAGATGGATAGACGCCAAACAAGTAGCATGTTTAATATAATGGGCGTACTATTGGATGCATTTATATAATGAATTTCAACTTACAACACATTCTGAAATAACGATTATTACATAATGAATTATGCTTATCAGTATAGCATTATGAATGCAAAATTGATCAAATGTAATAATAACAATTCTTTTTAAGGTTCCATATCCAAAGGGTAACTAAGGCTCTGCTGTCCGTCTGTCTGTATGGATATCTGTATGCCTGTTCCATTAACCATGATAGGCAGTTGAAATTTTCACAGATGATGCACAAGTGTCTTTTACCGTTATAACAATAAATGCTAAAAAAGTTAAGTTTAAATAAAAAATAATATTAGGTTTTATTTTAATATCTCTTCTATGACATATAACCATTAGTTTTTATTTTTATAGGTACTCTTTATCGTTCACTTACCATAAACATTCTATTTCCTTATATCATCACTACATATTACTACTATAAACAAAGTCCCCCGCCGCTTCTGTCTATCGCGATATACCTATGTCTGTTCGCGATAAACTCGAAAAGTACTGAACGGATTTTCATGCGGTTTTCAAAAATAGATAGAGCAATTCTTGAGGAAGGTGTTAGTGTATAGTAAGTTTAGGTTTTGTACAAATTGAGGATATTGCAACGATATTAGTTCCATATGTCGGAAAAAATAAAGTCGATCAGAAACTTTACTCGAAAACAAACAAAACATTGTATGGTGGTATTGTACCTCTTTAATAAATCTATAAAAAAAGTCTGTGGTAGTATATGTCTATATTCCAAGGATAACCCACAACAACCATTTTTTTACGTTTACTTAAAACAGTTAAATGATGGGTTATATACGAACATATTTTTAACAATACAGTATTACTCCTTATTCAAATAAATAAGTTAGATACGTTAAAATTCCCTTATACACTTTCCCTTATAATAATAATAATAATAATAAAGCCTTTATTACTGATTTGTAGTTTGCAATTTACAATTTATACCGAAATTCGCACATCATTCATCAGTGTGTCCTGCTGACACATAGGCCTCCTCTAACTTTTTTCATTCTTCTTTGTTTCTAGCTGTTCTTATCCATAGAGTCCCCGCTGTTCTACGTAAGTCATCAGCCCATCTCTTGAGCTCTACCTCTTTTCCTTTTTGTGTTATAACGCGGTATCCATTCAGTCAGGGTTTTGGCCCATCTCACTGCTGGCTGTCTTACAATGTGGCCAGACCATCTCCACTTTAGTAGTTTGCATTTCATATTAACATCCTCGAATTTGGTGATCTTGCGTAGATCAGATGCACGCATCTTATCTCTCAATTTGTATCCAAGGATGCTCCTTTCCATACTTCTCTGAGTAGTTCTTAATTTGTTTTGGAGTTTTTGGGTTAGGGCCCATGTTTGACAGCCATATGTAAGTATAGGTAATAGACAGGTGTTGAAGAGCTTTCTCTTGATACTGATTTTGTACTTTTTGTTTTTGAAAATATCTTTAAGAGCCCAGTTTCGCTTCCATGTGTTTGTTACTCGCCTGTCGATTTCTTGTGGCATCTGGTTTTGGAAGGATATTATCTGTCCTAGATAAATATAGGTATTCACATACTCTATTTTTTCATTATCAACAAGTATTATTTTTTCAATATCGTTTGTCATCACCTTGGTTTTTAACTTGTTGATTGTTAGGCCCACTTCTTCACTTTTGCTAGCTAGGTCTTGGAGCATTGATTGCAAAGTCTCTGGGTTTTCTGTTATCAACACCAAGTCGTCTGCAAACCTAAGATGGTTGAGTTTGCGGCCATCAATATTGATTCCGAGATCATCTCAGGATAGTTTTCTCATGACCTCTTCCAGCACAGCGGAAAACAATTTAGGAGACAGGGGATCCCCCTGTCTTACTCCTCTTTGAATTGGAAAGCTTTTTCCGCATGTCTCAAGTTTGATGATCGCTGTACTGTTGAAATAAACGTTTTTTATCAGCCTTATGTATTTAGATTCGACCCCTTGATTTTCTAGGGCTCTCCAAATATAATGGTGTTCCAAACAATCAAAGGTTTTTTATAGTCAACAAATGCCAAATATAATATGTACCCAAACTCTTGGCTTTTTTCTATGATTTGCTTTAGGCTGTGTATATGGTCTATGGTTGAATATCCTGCTCTAAATCCTGCTTGTTCAGGGGGTTGGTGAAATTCCAAGGTTTTGCAGATTCAGAATTATTTTTGAAAAGACTTTGTATATATTTGACATGAGGCTAATAGGGCGGTAGTTGTTTATATCTTCTTTGTCGCCTTTTTTTGTATATTAGGACGATCGTGCTATTTGACCACTGAAGAGGGATGTATTCAGAATCCATTATCACATTATACAGGTGGGTAAGTTTATGGAGGTTCTCTGGTAGAGTAATTTTCATCATTTCATTTGTGATATTGTCTTGTCCTGGTGATTTATCATTCCTCTGTGATCTTACTGCATGAGACACTTCCATTTCTAATATGGGGGGAATATTCTCCTCATTAGAGAGCTTATGCTATCTTTGGTTGTTTTCTCTGATGATTCTAAAGTTTTACTTGAATACAGGGCCTTGTAAAAGTTTGTAGCTATATCTAAAATGCTTCCTCTTTCAGTTTCAAGTGTTTGTTTTATGTTTTTTAATTTAGGTATCCATGTTTTAGAGTCTGTGAGTTCTTTGAGGGCTTTTTTAATCCCCCCAGTCTTGGTTATATGGTTGTTAATGGATGCCATCGTCTTCCTAGTTCTGTCCTTTTTAATATTCTTGCTTATTTCCTTACTTATTTTTGTTATTTCATTTAGGGTGGTTTTATCTTTCTTGTTCATTAACAAAGCTTTCCTCTTCTGTATTAATTCTATGGTGTTTATGCTGAATATATCTTGTTTTTTGTTCATTAGTTTTGACGTTAAATTATTACTATACATGTTGCACATTTCCTTGTCATAAAGTTCTTGAGTTTTATTTATGTTGTTTTCCGTATTTCTTCTGTTTTGTTGTGTATAGTTTTATAGGGGCTGGTGGCAATACAACTTTCTGTAATTTCTCCTGCATTTCTTTTTATCACCACCAATTAGTACTGCTCGTACCATGCGATGATTGGTATAGAAATTTAGCTTTTTGACTGTATCGACATCATGGAAGATTTTAGGTTGGTTACTTAAGATGTAGTCTATTTCATTGCAATAGAGACCATCCGGCGAGATCCAGGTCCACTTTTTTGTTGTCTTTTTCGGAAAATAGGTGTTCATAATCTTTAATTTATGTTCTAAAGCCATGCTTCTCAGTCTCTCTCCGTTGCGTTCCTTTTGCCTGTTCCGTATTTCCCCACTACAGTCTCTTCACCTTGGTTTTGTTTGCCAATCTTTCCATTGAAATCCCCCATGACAATTGTATTTTTGTAGCAAGTTTCCAGGGTCTCGCTGAGCTTCGAATAGAAGTCATCTTTAGATTTTTCATCTGAAGATTCTGTCGGTGCATAAGCCTGTACTATTGACCAATTTTTGCTGAAGCCAGGTAGCTTTATGTTAAGTATTGCTATTCTTTCTGAGACTCCTCTGAATTCAATAATATTTTTCTTAAGTTCTGGTTTGACCATGAATCCTACTCCGTAGAGACCTTTGGTTTCTCCTTTGTAGTAAAGAATATATTTGTTGTGTTCTTCAATGGTGTCGCCAAGTCTTCTTACTTCGGAAAGTCCAATAATGTCCCATTTAATGTTTTCAAGTGCATTTTCAAGTTCTAATATTCTTTCTTCAGTTCTTAAGGTAAGTGTGTTTATTGTAGGTATATAAATATTTCTGTTGTATGTTGCTTTTTCTTTTTCTTTCTGTTTAGTTAGAGGGTTGCGGTCTTTAGTCCCCACGGAGACCGCTTCCGGCTTGGGGAATTGTTTAGGTTGTTATATTTTGAGTTTTCGTTTTTGCTGTTTGGTGGCTTCCGGTTCCTGATGTGCAGAGGTTGTCATTGTTTGCTTGATCCTGAGGTCGAGTTGGTTCTTGGGCGAGTTGAGATCCTTAGTGTGCTTATTTTGTTAACCTTGGATGGTGCGGTTATCTTCTCGTGATAGTCTTGAGTGGGTGAGTCAGTCGGCATTCTCTTCCTTTTTTCACTTTCTTTCGTTGTATCAGTTGGTTTAATTATATTATTAGGTTTAATTATAAGCTTGTCATAGCGGATATAGGCTACGTTCCCATTCAATTCCTCTTGTCTTTTCTTAACTTTCAGTTCGTTTCTTTTTATCAGGATTTCTTTGGGGTAGTCTTGAGTTGCATAGATACCAGTCGGAAGGTTCTTATTATTCTTAAGTATCTCGAGTTTTCGCCATACGAGTGTAAGTGTTATCAGAATCGGCCTCGTTTTGCTCACATCTCTCTTCCCCAATCTTCGAAGGTCGCTTATCTCCCATTCAACCCATTCTCGCATATCCGACTTTTTGCTGAGTTCGTTCAGGATGCTAGTGATTTTACTTCTCAAGTCTGCGAAATTTGTCTCGTTTTCTTTTACTCCATGGATAATAATATTATTTTTTCTTGTCTCTTTTTCTAAGTTCTCAATTTTTGATTGCAACGTTGCGACTTGCTTTTTTAGTTCGATGTTTTCCTCGACAATAGGTTTTAATTTCTCTTCAATGGTCCAAGTCCAAACACTTTCCCTTATTAACTTCCAAATTCCAGTTCCGACTGCACCGAATTGGATGATTCTATTTTTTGTGTTCCACGATTCATGTCATGGTTTGTATATAAGATTTTTTTTTAAAACAGGTTTAAGGCGGTACGAAGTTGGCGGGGTCAGCTAGCTAGTTAATTAATAAATTCTATTTATTGGATCACACCCCAATGTAATTTTGAACAAAACAAAACACATATCCACATCTTGCACGAAACACGTCTCCACACAAAATGAACAAAAAAATTGACGTAGGTTTGCGCATTCACGAAGCAACGGCATAATGCCACAGCGTAACGCGATGGATATTGATGCAAATAGAATAACAAAGTTTTACGTCAAGCCATAAAATTTCACAGTCACTGTCAAAATTTGGTATACTGTTTTATGTGGTGGCATGTTTGTGAATGCCCACCTTCATGGATGGTTAAGAAAAATGGTCCATAATCTTCTACGTTGGCTCAATGCAGAGGATCGGAGTTTTAATAACTGCAATTGCAGCTGGAACCAACTGCTTAATGTGCCTTCCGAATCATAGAGCAGATCAAGATAATAAATAATTACCACCCTTCCTAAAGTTGCTTAGCAACAACGATCATGGCACTACACCACCGAGCTAACTCACTTACTCCCTTAGTCATCAGAATATATCAAACAAGTTGTGAGTGTGTAAATGTGCATACTGCACTACCTGAATTTTATCCACTTACAATGCTTACCTCATAATTATATCCTGGCATAGTAATGAAAAGATCTGGTTTGCCTAGGTGATTGTTCATATCATGAAAAACAATATTGTTGATTAGATGCTTGATAAAGTTTAAACCTGGCATTGCTCCAATTATTTTAACAATTCTATCTGGAAAACAAATGAATTAATAAATCACAGTGAAATATACATTTATATATAATTATTATGTATTTTGTTTTATTTACTATTATCATGCGTGGAAAGATCACCAAGTAGTTCCTTTATTCTGTTTCCATTATCCATTTTATCCTGAAAGGCCAACTTCCACATGCCAAAGAAATCTGCAACTTTACACTCCACTTTATGAGGATGTTCATCTTTTAATCTCTAGAATTTCAATAAAAATCCACATTTTGATATTTAATTTTAAGTATTCTAATTGATTTTCAGGAAATGTAAATCAATAGTACATACACTAAGTTGTGGAAGAAAATGATTAGATGTTTCAAACATGTATAGATTATTATTTAAATTCGTAATTAACTTTTCACTTAGAAAACCCATTCCAGGATTCACTTCGATTATGGGATTTTCTGGCCTGATATGAGGTTTTAAAGTATTTAGAATTTTGTCAGCTGTATTTTTGTTTATTAAATACATATTTTCTGGAGTCCTATATTTTCTTAACAACGACTTTGGCAAATTTTCTAAAAGTCCAGTATATTCAGGTATATTTTGTAAATAATTAATAACATCATTTGCTACTTTAGTATTTTTTTGTTCAGTTTTCATCGATGACTGTCTTTGCTGTAATTTTTTCATATATTTTATTGTATAACTTCTACAAATATTGTTCATTTTTAGTAGCATTGCTAACATAGGCCGTCTTTTTAATCACAACAAATTATATTTATAGTAATTATTTCAAGTCAAAAGAGAAAAACAGAAAAGAAATAGCAAGTTACGGTAGCAAATATCCCCTTTAGGTTCGTAGCTCGTAGTTCTACTAGTTTATTGTCAAAACAAACAAAACTAGCGATGTCCTAATGAAATGTCATACATTCAATAATCGATCATTTATCGAAATAGCTAGTAATGAAATGTTTATTTTGACTCAAAGTTAAAATGCATGTATGTTCTAGAAGTTCATCATTATCAAAGATAAAACATTTTATGCAGTTGATAAAAAATAAAATATATTTTTAAACATTATCTTTCAGACAATCGAGAACTATATATAATAAAGAAATTTGTAGTGTGTAGATTCGGCAGATTAGTTTATTATTGCACAAGGTGCTTTTTAAGTACTATACATTTCTGCGATTGATAGTGATGTGATATGTATTAGAGTCACATATAGCAAATTCTGCACTTGCTTTTAATATTTTACATACAGAAAAATTTGACATATCGCGATTGTCTGATGTGCAGCCGTGTGTGCGTCCTATATTTAGCTATTGAAAACACCTAAATAGCATCTGCACATTGTTCATCCATGACGACCTTACATATTAATTTAGACGTCAATTTGTTGACGTAAACCCGTTACTGTTCGAAATAATGGTTTTTGAGTTGTGCCACTGTACTATTCAGTGAGCAAAATATTCTATTAAAATATCATACTATGACTCATGTCCCTGTTCAAGGTCCGTGGTGGGGTTGTAATTAGAGGAATATTTTTCTTTAAAAAATATCGTATATAACTTTAGAAATCAATTTAAAAAGCATTTATAAAAAAATGGGCTCTTTAGTATTTGAATCCAAATGACATAATTCAATACTATACCGTTTGGTGAAGGGTAAAATTTTAAAGTACTTTTCTACATATAATTGTATAATTTTAGTTTGCGATTTATCGGCCAAAAAAATATATTATAAGAGTCACATTTCATTATTGAATTTTCAATTTATAATTTATAATTGAAAATAGGTTAACAATCGATGTTGTAGCTGTAATCGACATCACCAATGTTGACTTGACTGTCAATGTCAATCTGACAGTTGAATGGCGGTACCACGGACTTAGTTCTTAGAACAGGACTTATAATTTCGAAGAATTTTTATTACAAAAATAGACCTTATTGCTATCAGTTAAAGTATACTTTTAATTGCTCTTTGTAGATAATCTAATACGAGCCGAGACATATATTCACAGCGGAGGCCATGTGTCTCGTTCTTTCATCTTGCCATTACAAAAAATGTTCTTCATTCAAAATATAAACTAAAATAACCTTAGTTAACTAAAACAAACATTTGTATTTTAATAGTAACTGTTTTGTAATTTTAAATTATTATATAATCACATTAATTTGTTAATATTATATTATTACCAAAAGACAGTACAATTTAATAACAAAGCTATTTGTTTACTTATTTTCTACAGGTATCCCTTTGAAGTATCATGCATGGCGGAGTTTTTGGCGGGCTTTTGAAAAAGAAGGGCGCGATTTTTAAAGATAAATTTTAATTTGTTTAAATACTGTACATATTAAATAATTTCATTTCATTTTAGTGTAATTGTGTAATTAGTGATATAGAAATAATAAAAATGAATAAAACCCCGGGGGGTGACGGCCCCGGGGTCGATTCCTATCGTCCTACAAAAAGACTGAGAGAAAGTGTAGAAAATGAGACTAATATTAATTCTAAAGATATGGGCAAAGATTTTTATAAACCGTATAGTAAATCAGGTTATACGAGAGTATTTCCTGATAATGCAATTGGAAAAGAATTCTGTGTTTTTGTAGAAAAGGAGAAAATCGGCAACAGGAATCCCCTAGTATTAGCAAGCCTATTTAAGAATGAAATTAAAGGTGTAACGAATATAAGACGCATTAACGCTAATAAAGTCGGTGTAACGTTCTCACAAGCAAACAATGCAAATAATTTTCTAAAAAATGAAGGTTTTCTCAATCACCACAATTTCAGAGCATACATTCCAGCACGAGCAGTAGAGAAAATCGGTGTTCTTCGGTTTGTACCCACTAATATCTCAAATGAGGAACTCTTTAAGAAACTATCTTCGTCATATGAAATTGTAACTGTTCGTAGATTTCAAAAAATTGTTGACGGAGTTGTAAAGCCCTTCGGATCAGTGAGTATCACATTTTTGACAAACATCTTACCAGACTATGTATACCTAGATATATTTAGGTTTAAAGTTTACGAATATATAGCTCCTTTATTACAATGTTATAAATGTCTTAAATTTAATCACGGAGCTAAAGTTTGTAATTCCACTCAAAAGTGTTCTATTTGCGCAGGAGAACATCATTATTCTCAATGTAACAGTGAAGCAGTTAAAAAATGTATTAACTGTGGAGGACAACATTTGGCAATTTCGAGAGATTGTCCTGTTAAGAAACATAAAATTATGGAAAAAACTAATAAAATAACTTACGCTAACGCTATTACTAAAAACGATAATAATCTCATGAATAATTATAATTCTACTTTTCCGGCATTACCCGCAAAAACTATGAAATCTACTACTTCTTATGAACCTATGTCATCTGAACAGTTACTAAATGAAGTTTTAAAAAGTGACATAATTCTTAAAGGATTAGTAGGTACACTAGTAGCATTGGGGAATGATGCAAGAAAGTTGACCTCTTCTGTTATTAAAGAAGTATTAATAGACAAACTTAAAAATGGATAAAAAATTTATTAATATATGTCAATTTAATGTACAAAGTATAAACTCTAAAAAACCTTTGCTAGTTAATTTTATTAATGAAAAGGACATAGACATTTGTCTTCTGAATGAGACATGGTTGAGAGATAGAAGTAATTTTAGTATTCAAAACTATAACTTTGTAGCTCAAAATGGACCTGATGGTCATGGTGGAGTTGGTATATTAATACGCAATAATTTAAAATATAATATTATACCAACAAAATATTATGAACATACACAAACTACAGCTATCAGTGTAGTCACATGTAGGGGTCGTTTGACCATTCTAACTGTGTATACCCCTCCACCAGGTAAAAACAATAACTTCAGGATAAATATATTACAACAAATTTTGAAAAATCTTCCTAAGCCCATAATGTTAGCAGGTGATCTGAATGCTCATCACATAGCATTTGGTTGTAATACAACTTCCACTAGAGGAAATCAAATCTATAATCTTCTTGATGAGTTCGATTTGTGTATTTTGAATAATGGTTCTCCTACTACAGTTGGTACTATTCATCACCGACAATCAGCTATTGACATCACATGTGTAAGTCCATCTTTAGCACCTCTATGTGACTGGTCAGTACATGATGATCCCATGGGTAGTTATCATTTTCCAACTATCACCAAATTGCAACTTTCAATAGATAAATACATTGTTGGCACACCATGTGAGAAGTTCTTATTTCATAAGGTAGACTGGTCTCTTTTCAAATCTGAAACAGAAAAAGAATTTTCAAATTTTTGTTATGATAATAGTAACCCTATAGAATCATACAACATATTTTATAATAAATTGATAGATCTTATGAAAAAATGTATCCCTATATTTAAAAAAGAGTCTCACTATATTAAGAGAAATCCAGTTCCATGGTGGGATAATGAGTGTTTAAATGCAGTTCGACTCAGCAAAGAAGCACTAAATAAATACAGATCTGATGGAACCATTGAGAGCTACATTATGTACAAAAAAGTTGATGCACAGAAAAAGCTTTTACTTCGTAAGAAAAAGAGAACTAGTTGGCATAAGTTGTGTGAATCATTTAACAGATATACACCTACTAGCATTATTTGGAATTATATGAAAAGATTTAAAAACATAGGTATTCAAAATAAATTTAGATTAGATGATTGGATTCCTGAATTTATAGAAAAATATGCTCCATCAGTTCCACCAGCTAATTCACAAAATAATTCAAATTTAACTAGTATCTTTAATAAAAATGATAATAATACAAATAGCTTCTTATCTGAACCATTCTCATTGCAAGAGTTGCAAAGTGCTCTAGCAAGTCGAAAAAATACTAGCCCAGGATTAGATAATGTAACTTATGAAGTATTGAAAAATATGCATCCAAATGCCCTAGAGATTTTATTGCAAATATATAACTTATTATGGAATAAACTAGAAATCCCAGACTCTTGGAAAACACAATGTATCATACCCATCTTGAAATCAGATAAACCAATAAATGATCATAATTCTTATAGACCCATAGCATTATCATCTTGCATAGGAAAAATATTTGAATATATGTTAAAAGTAAGATTGGAATGGTATCTTGAGTGTAACAATAAATTACCTGTACAACAGTCTGGTTTCCGAAAGGGTCATAGTGCAACAGAAAATTTTATTTCCCTTATAACCGATATCAAAAACTCTTTTTTCAGTCACTCAAATACAGCTTGTGTTTTCTTAGATATTCAGGGAGCTTTTGACAATGTAGATCCTGAAATACTTGTCCATATTTTATCAGAATCTGGAATTCCTGGAAAAATATGTAAATGGATATTTAACTTTTTATTTGAGAGAACAATGTATGTTAGATATAATAACATTCTTCATGGTCCAAATTCTGTATATAAAGGCACCATGCAAGGTGCAACAATATCACCATTGTTGTATAATATATACACCAGCCAGATTACCACTTATTTAAAAAATTCAAATATCAAATTTCTTCAATTTGCAGATGATATTGTTTTATATACTATAGATCAAAATGTAAATATTGCTGTAAATAATTTAAACAAAGGCCTTATACAGATTCATAATTTTTATGAAAATAAATTGAAATTAAAAATTAACCCTAGTAAAAGTGGTGCCATGTTGTTTAGTAAAAAATCAAATATTTGTGATAACAATGTTAAATATAATAGTGTTCCCATTCCATGGCTGTCTGAAAAGAAATTTCTGGGGGTGTATGTAGATCCTAAATTAACATTTGAAAGCCATATTAAATATATTTCAAAAAATGCTAATAAAGGGTTGACCATTATTAGATCATTGG